CAGCACCTACTGTTTAATCGATTAATTTGATTTTTTTTTTCATGTTCGCCTTGATGCCCTTTATTCTGCCTTCATCTGCTGTGGCGTCTTTGAGCCCGTTTCAATCATTTTGCCGATTTACTTTATGTCACACCTCTAGTTGTTCCCGGAAAAAGATGAAAGCAAGAAGAGACAAAGAAGAGAAAGGTTGTATTATATTATGCCTCCCACCTGCATTATTCAGCCTTTCTGTCTTTTATTGTGCCAAAAGCAAACATTTAAGCTTCACTTTCTTAAAACATCAGTCACACTGCCAGCAGACTTGATATTTGATGAAACTGGTCTCGCTTCCTCCCGTAACTTGAAGACAGCTTTGCTTTAGATGGTTTGGAGGTGTTTAAAGGAATCTTTGATGTTGACTGATCAAAGTGAAGTCAAGTGAGGTGACTTGTTGTAATTGTTGCTGAAATAACATTTAATGAGTAATTGATTATAGTTTTCAACTGATCTGCCTGACACTGATCTTCAATTGGTCTTATGGGAGTAAAAATAAAAACACACTCTAGATATTATGGGCACACCTGAAACTCAAAATTGCAGTCTCTTCTGTCAGGCGATGAAATCCAGATGTATTGGATGCTAAACAAATTGCATAGCTCAGAAGGATTCAAGTGTTTGCGGGTGACAGTGTGAGTCCGTGTGAGAGGGAGTGAAGACGAACAGCATGCCATTAATCTTTCACACACTGGATTGGGGAGGCAATCTGTTGGCTATCATAGATGATACATGACCAGCTATAGAATGATTCGCCTGTTGCATACCAACACCGTGAAACCGCACACACAGGCAGCATCTCTCACACAGACACAAAAAGAATCAAAGACACTACTGTCAAAGATCAGCCGAGTGTACTGGCATGCACTCTGAGAACAGCTGAATTCATCCACACGTCCACATGAAAGCACATTTGTACACATGCCTGCTTGCACATATTGTCACACACGATTCCATCTAAATCAAGCGCCAGAGGGCAAACGTGTTCTCCAATAGGATGGTTTTCTATCAAGCTGCCTGAGATACAGAACCATTTTTAGTTCATTTTCAGAATAAAAGCAGTAACCTCGCCCCCAACATAGCATAAAAGAATGTGCCAAAGCGCATGTGCAGACTCAGTGAGCCGTTTAACTTTTACAGTGTTTCTGTCATTGTCACATCTGTATTAACAGCCCATGCAGCAAGAGGAAAACTGTGCATGGGAGTAGCTATAATTGTAAATCAGCCTTAAACACACTGAAAGGCTGCACAATCTGTGTCTCTTCCCAGTGTATTGTAATTAGTGTGAGAAGCTTTACTGTGAGGTTTAACGACTTTGCTTTATGTTACAGATTTGTAGGACTTCATTAAACGCTGAGCCTTATTTAAATGGGGAAGCCCATCTTTCCCTGGCTCTTCACTGTATTGCCGGGTTTTATCATTTAAAAAAAAGAAAATCCTCGCTAAGATCAAGTTTAGTCTGAATGTAAACAGAACAAAGGGAGATTGTTTGCAGCAGATGCTAGCCCAGTCTCAGCCCAGCAAATGACACGCCAAAGTTAAGGTATTAAAGTGAAAAAAAAATTAGTAAATTAGACTCTACTATAATGTCAGATTAACTTTGCTGGCTGTCCTGCACTGTGGTCCAACATTCTGTTTTCCCCCCTATGAAACCTTTAATCTAGAAATAAAATGAATCAGATGTGATCATTTTAGATTCATGAACACTGAGGATGATTTATTCAAAGAACCTCACGGGTTTAATGTAAATAAAATTAATTAGAAAAATGATTGAATGCTCGAATTGAGCATTCTGCTGATAAAATAATGGACCTCGGAAATTCATCTGTCAACAACTACAGCTGAAAATGCTGCTTGGCGTTGATGGATGCAGTGTTTAGTTTAAGATGACAATTCTAATGCAAAAAGAAGAAGAAATATGTCCTCATCGTACCTTATTCCTCTCTCATCTAATGACACATGCATTTTAGGTCCTAGTACATGTTCATACTGTAGTACTGTTTAGACCAGGGGTGGGCAACTCCAGGCCTCGAGGGCCGGTGTCCCTGCAGGTTTTAGATGTGTCCTTGATCCAACACAGCTGATTTAAATGGCTAAATTAGCTCCTCAACATGTCCTGAAGTTCTCCAGAGGCCTGGTAACGAACGAATCATTTGATTCGGGTGTGTTGACCCAAGGTGAGATTTAAAACCTGCAGGACACCGGCCCTCGAGGCCTGGAATTGCCCACCCCTGGTTTAGACTGTGGTTTTAGATCACTGTTAGGTGATTGCTAGATCACACGATGATGCCATAACATGTGATATTGATAAGAACCTTCAGTGGGCTGTGATGAACCAGTGTGCCCGATTGTCTTGATTCCTCAACTCCTGATCGTGTAGGAGGAGTTGGTGGACAAAAAAAGAGATTTTGTTTGCTACAGTAAGATTGCATGTTATTAGGAATGCTACTAACATCTGCTTTTAAAAAAAAAGCAAGAGTGCTTGCTTACATGCTGGTCTAGTGCCTCTACAGGTCAGAAGCAGCAAGAGAAATTACACTTCCAGAAAACAAGTCAGTTTAACTGGTATAAAGAGTCCATTTTCAATGAAGGAGGTAGTGATTTAGACACATATCAAACAGACGATTTTCAGTTTGTATCCTATGTTTGGCAATTACTATTTTACTTCTTCTCTTTTGCATCTGTGGCTGTTTGCACTACTTTAGGGCAAGAACGTGGTTTAGGTTATATTAAATCTGAAAATTGTTGGAAAACAACAGTAGTTATATTTTAGCTTAAAATTTCTATTAAAGAGCCTGCGTATACGTTGCAAAAATAATTTTTGTTATTATCAACAGTGTTAATTTATGAAAGCTGTAGGCCGGAGCCTTTAATTTGATGTAATAAATTTGAGGAACCCGTATATTTTATGTTAGAGATGTGTTTTGCTGCAGTGTATTGTCATTCAGTATCTGCTCATACCAGCACCTGCGGTTGCCCCAAGAGGAGCTGTCAAATGAATTAATAAATGCTCCTTAAAAATACATTAGAGCGTATATTGGTTATTAAAAGTTTATGTAATGCTTATGAATACAAGATATGCAGAACTGCAGTAAAGTTTTACGCCACTTCTCTTGTCACCGGTCCTGCCTGAAGCACTAGCCAAGGAAATAAGCAGTGCACTCTGCCAAATGCCACTCAGTGATTATAATGGGTCAGTTACAGAGGACAAAATTTCCCCAGTGATCAATAAGGTGCAACTTAAACTTCAACAGATTCCTTACACGGTCATTTTTTCTTTTATACCACTTTCTTTTTCCACTCACCCAGAGTCACTCCACAAGGTTGAATTAATAAGGTATTGTTCACCAGCTAACCAGTCAGATCACCTCTGCGTTTTTGGCCACTAACAGAAATCCTGTGAAATCTATGAAACTTCTGAACATGCCATCCTCTTCATCCTCCTAATCTCTGTCACCGGCATATTTCCTTTTCTGGGCTCAAAGACAAACATTACATCAAAGTGTCACATGGTTAAAAAAACAGAAAGTTTCTGTTGTATCCTAATAAGTATAAAAATATATCTAACAACAGTTTCGTCTGAGAATCCATCACGGTGTATGCCAGGTTCATTATTTCAAGCAAACAGATCAAGGCCTCAAGGACAAACACTATCAAGTCTGTGTGTGTTTGCGTGTGTGTGGATTAAGAGGTGCGATGGATTTTGAAGAGCAGCATAATGCAGAGTTGCTCCAAAAGGTGACAATTTATGCCGAGTCATGCGTCAATGCATCTCTCCACTTTCTCGCTCCTCGTTTTCTCTTCCGCTCACACTTCTTACAAATAAACCCGACTAAAAATAATTTGTCTGCCGCCGCTCTCACATCAGAGTGTTGGTATCACCAGGCTGTCCGGTAAATATCGGAACACATTGTCTGATTGTATGCAAGAGGATCTGATTATCGCCCGAGGTTTAAGTGGCTATAATCAGTGTTTTTATGATAACAACGGATCACAGATCACCTGAATCAGGAGTTCATCATAGCACCTTTCAGTTGTTTTATTTCTTTTTGGTGTAATTTTACCAAAAAAATAATAATATTAAAGTGCTTCTTAAAAGCAAAAGCGATGAATTAGAATTGATGATTTGCTTTCATGCTCAAGTTATTTATCAGGTCTTTTATCAGTCATTTTCTGCATTTTTTCTTTCTTTCTGAATGTCTTGTAGTGTATGCCCAGTAATATTTTCACTTTGTTTCTCACTCCTTTGAAGTGAAGTTGTTTTTTTGATTTTTTTCTGTATTATTATTTTCCTTGTTGCTGTTTCTGCCCATTAGAATTTCAAGGTCTTTTACTGACTGCGGTACTTAAAAGGAAACATCATGTGGCCTTCATGTATTTTTCTCTGACTTTCTCTAATAGGTTCACTCTCACTTGCTTTCCTTCCTTTTACTCAGTGAAAACAAGTTCATGCAAAAAAAAAAAATGAATTGCCACTTACTTTGATGCTCCTGCTCACAATTGGGAGATAAACAGCGTAAGCATGGAGAAAAGGAAAAGAAGGAAAGAGGATGAGAGAGATGCTGGCTTGCCCCGATTGCTATCTGTTTCATGTAGCCTCGGTTGCTGTTAGTGCTGAATTGGTTTTCAGGTTGAAAGACAATTACTTTGGCGGTACTGTCAGTTTTGTCATGCACACAGAACGCTTTGTGAAGCTACAGTTTTCTGTGTTGCATATCTCTGCAACGGTAATTGTGTTTCTTTCTCTCTCTCGTTTTTTAATCCCTTCACTGTCGTCTTTACCTTAACCATCTCCGTTTCATCCATCTGCTGATTTCTCGTCTGTGTTTGCTTTCTTTCATCTCCCTAATCTTGCCATCTTGGCCACTTTGTAAAAAAAAAATTGACTTTATCTTTCCCTTTCTTACACCTCACTCTTCTTTCCCTGTTTTTTCTCCCTACCTCACTCCCCACTCTCTTCTCTGCAGGTCTCTATCTGGACGTATTGTTGGAGGTGTGTGGTGGTTCTTTACTCTTATCATCATCTCCTCTTACACAGCCAACTTGGCTGCATTCCTCACTGTGGAGAGGATGGTTTCACCGATAGAGAGTGCAGAGGACTTGGCCAAACAGACAGAGATAGCCTATGGGACGCTGGACTCAGGCTCCACTAAAGAATTCTTCAGGGTATGAACTCAACGCCCACTGTTCATTTTATTTGATTGCTTGAGCCTTTTCAGGTTAATGGAAATATGCAATCAGCCAATCACATGGCAACATTTCAGTGCATTTAGATATGTAGAGATGGTCAGGACAGGCTCCTGAAGTCCACACAGGCCATCATAATGCGTGGAAAAGGTGATTTAAGTGATTTTAAATGTGTCATTGCTGTTTGTACCAGACAAGCTGTGCAGTGCACAACATATCCAGACTTGAAGCTACTGCAACATAAGGCTGTTCCTGTCAGCTAAGAGCAGGAGGAACTGAGGCTACAATTCACATGGACTCACCAAATAGGACAATAGAGATTGAAAAATGGTCTGATCCATCATGGAATCAACAGTGGTGGTGGTGTAATAGTGAGGGAGATATTTTTTCAGATCATCTCAAACTGGTTTCTTGAAAATAACCTCCACAATCATCAGATCTAAATCTAACACCTGTGGGATTGATTGGTGTGCACCCAACAAAGCAGCAACTGTGTGATGCTATCACGTCAGTATAGATCAAAGTTTTCAGCACTTTGTTGAATCGATGCCACGAAGAATTAAAGCATTTTTGAAGGCAAAAGAGGGTCCAACCTGGTATTAGTAAGGTATAGCTAATAAACTGACAACTGGGTGCAGATTCAAATTTACAGAGATGACTATTTAAAATATTACATTGTTCAGAAAATACTTTAGTGGCAGAACTTTAATCACTTGTATGCTAGTAGGGAATAATGAGTGTGCCTCGGTTACCTAGGCTAATTCAAGAAGCACATACTTGAAAACCAATCTACAACATTCTAGAAAATCGAAATTAAAGGATCTTTCGTGTACTGATCTCGACTTGAGAGAGACTTGAAACGTGATGGTAAGCTGAGATGACTTTCTGTTTCCAGTTAGTTAGCATGTAAAACCTGATCAAAGCCCATTGTAAGATTTAAAAAGATTACACCGGACATGAGAAAACAAAAGATCTGTGCTGGATTTTCTCAGTCTGGCGAGAGCAGACTGTATGTATTGTGAAGAGTGGACCCAAAATGCAGACACCAAGGAACTTGGATCAAAACTTGAGTATCAACAAAAAGCGAGCCGTTTAATGAGGCTGGCAGAAAAGGTACAAATAAAGGGCAAGGCAAACAGAAATAAAACTAACATTAACCTAAACTGGGAGAACTAAACAAACAACATGGAAAAACCTGGACATGAAACCTAGAAACATGGCATGGAGAACATGGCGTGAACAACAGACGACCTGACAATCACACACTGAAAACAGAGGACTTAAATACACAGGAGGTGATTAGGGGAAGTGGAGACACATGAGGAAACAGCTGGCACACATGAACATAATGACGTCACAGTGGGAGAGTAAAACTGAACATGATGAACACAGAACACCAGACCTCTTCACAATAAAACAGGAAACATAATGAGACATAGACATGACAACCCGAACTTGACAACGTAAGACACAGACATGAAACGCATGAAGAGCAGGGGAGATTTAACATGGTGGGAAACACGAGGGGAAAATAATAACTAGAAACACTTAGGCATAATAATACAAACTTGATAACAAATAAACTTAGGAAACCTGATAAGCTTAAACATACACTATGAACATCAAAAGAACTGAAACTCAAAACACTGGGTCATAAGACCCAATACCGTGACATGGATTTTCTCAAACGCAATGTTGATTACAGTGAAAAGATGTTTTTTTTACCACAGTCCTCAGCAGTTAATCAAAATAAAGGAATAAAACCATAATGATTATAAAAGTAGGCAGTAAGGTAAGTAAAGTCAAGGATAACCGGTGGGATAGAATATGCTGCTATGAAAAGAAAGTGGAAAGAATAGCAGAGTGGGGTAAAGAAGCCCCAATTACACCTTCACCCTTTGACCTCTTCACCTATGTGGCTTCCAGTCAGTGCTAATAGTTGACACACATGAACATGCACACAATCCTTTTTTTTTTTTCTTTCCCTTTTGCTTCACACAATTATTAAGATTTGTTTTTGTTCCTGTGCATGTTATGTGTATATAAACAGTTCTGCTCTGTAGGAATGTGTGCACTGGTATTTGTGTCTGGAGACAAAGGAGGAAAGGGGGGAGAATGTAGCAGGCAGTTTGTGCTTCTGTTAGTCGCTCTGGCATCATCAACATAACGAGCAGGCTGAAATCTGTGGAGGGTGAAAAAGCAATTTACTCTCCCACAGCTGAGGGGGATTCGCCACCACCATTAATTATCTTGTGTGTGCATGCAAGTGTGTTTGTGTGACCGTGGATGTGTACATACAATATCGTGTGCACATAAAGCAACATATGCATGTGTCTTATATGTGTAAGCAAGTTTGAGTGGCGTTTTGTAACGCGCAGAAACACGGTACGTGCGTCCATGTAAGTTTAAAAGCGTTTCCATATTGTGCATGCCTGAAGGTGACTTGCAGCATCCATTTTCCTCTTTCACAGCTACGCTCATTGTTAAAGAATCTGGAAAGAGTCACACCTTATTGTCACACATCCATCCCTCCAAGGCTAGACGGCGCTTTGTACACGCGCGTTTATTATCGGCGTCTCTCGGTCTCACTTTCTTTGATAGGTGGGGGCTTGGATAGATGGGCTGGAGGTGTACAGGAGGGGGGGTGAGAAACTGTGATAGACTTTGGCAGACAGAGGAAGAAATGGAAGGAGAAAAATGAAGAGAAAGAGGGTTGAATGAAGAGAGGCGGAGCCTTTTGATGTGTGTGACATTATTATGGGATAGGTGTCCGTCACGCACTAGCAGCACACTGATACACACACATATCATTCCCCGGGTGCTGGTTTCAGTGGCTGAGGCCCTGGCTTGTTGCTCGAAGAGCGACTGAATAACACTTTATCACCAGGAGTGAAAGAGAAGAAAGAAGCAGTGCGCTGGTGGAGGATGACAGTTTGACTCCTCTGCTTGTTATTTTCACTCTTGAGTACACGCAGTTCACACACACAAGCAAACAAATCATTTCACATATATACACACAGACCGATGTGCAGAATTACAAGACCACAGACATATGTAGGATGTATACAGTACACATTATAAAAAAATATAATAGAGTTTATTTACAATACTGTGCAGACGTCTTAAGCCACCTTTCATTTCTTCGTATTTTGCTAAGAAACTGGTGAATTTATTTACTGAAATATGTGCAACAGAGTTTGTACAATTATAATAAGCTCAAAAGCCAATATCTCGTATGACCGCACAAGACGATCCCACACCGCTTCATGGATGTTGAGGTCCAGGCTCTGGGGAGACCAATCCATGACCGATATCCAGGTGTGCTTTTACTGCATTGACAGTGTGTTTGGGATCATTGTGATGTCAATCAGACGCTTTCCAGCTAGTACAGCACGGTGGATCAAGATCTGAAAATACTTCAATGCATTCATAATTCCATCAGTTCTGACAAGATCCCCAGCACCACTGTCTGAAATGTTTTACAGATGGCTGTAGACACTCACTGTTGTAGCTCTCGCCTGACCTCCTCTGTCTTCAAATTGATTGAACCCAAAAATTTCAATTTGGATTCACCACCCCATATGACCTGTCGCAACTGATATTCAGTCTTTTTTCAGTGATGTGACATACCCCTGCTTTTTGTCCCTGGTTTGTCTTGTAGTTTTTTAGGCCTGCCACTTCTGTCTCTGTCATTTCCATTATGTGTCTTTAAGGAAACACTGTATAACATGTGGAGATGTGCTAGATTTTTGGCTCTTTGGGTATCACCATATTGGTACAAAAGCACAATTTATATGCTTGAAAAACTGAGTTATTTTGGAATTTTTCATAGATTCAAGTTTCAAGTAAAGAAATTGCAAATAATTATCATTTTTTAATAGGCTAAGCTAATAGTAACAAAGTGCCTAAAGATACATTTTGTTATATTTGTAGCTACAACACTGGTTCACCCATTAGGTTCGGCATATTCTGTATGCTTGAATGATTCAACCACAGTAAGTGGTTTTAAAAAACACAACATTCCTCTGAAAATAGCCAGGTACAAAGAGTGGACTGAAAATGAGTGAAAAAGCAGCCAAAGTCCAAAAACGTCTGGTTTGTTCAAGGCAAAATATAAAGAAATAAGTGGTGGCTGAAGACTTTTGTACTGTACTCAGTCCTAAATTCATAACCACACACCAGCTTAGTGTACAAGTATTCCAGTAAAAAGTAAGACTGATGCTTGACTTGTTAGCATCTACGTTATAATTTAAATGTGGTTATACAGTAAATGTGATTATACACCAGGAGATAAACATTGAAGACACAGCACACCATCAACAGCATCATTTTACTCAGGGACCAAAAGAGGAAAAGTCAGCTTCACATCATATGAAGCTGTAGCAACAAATCAAATCCAGTGGAAACATGGATTGTTAACATGGATTAACAGCTTCCTTTTTGCATCAGTAAAGTCAGCACTAAGGTCAGCATGTCGATTTGAATAATTAATTAGATAGTGTCCGCACACTGTTCAAAGTAATATTTATAAAAGAAAAAGACTGGCAGGCATTGTTCTATTTTTCTTGTAGCTGAAAACCAATTAATTTCTACTCATTCCTTAAGCATAAATCCATTTGAAATAGGTCACAAAAATGGAATTTTGTTTTCATTTTTGTTAACCTTCCCAAATCAAGTTTAAGAGCAATGTGTTTGGCAAGTTTGAGTGTTTAATGTTTAATATCTTTTGGAGAACATCAATAACTTAGCAACAAACAGGCAGTATTTGTTAGTGGGACTCATTTATTTTTATTAAACGGCTGAAATATATACAGTGAACATCTACAACGTAGCTTCCTTGACAGCTGGCTTCCACATCATTTTAGGGAAAATTTGCTCCTATAACTGTGAATTTATACCCATTAATTCCCTGTTAACCTTTTCCTTTCTCCCCTTTGCTCCTCTTCCATGCTAGAGATCCAAAATAGCTGTATACGAGAAGATGTGGTCATATATGAAATCCGCTGAGCCAACTGTCTTCACCAAAACCACAGCAGAAGGCGTGGCAAGGGTCCGAAAGTCCAAGGGGAAGTACGCCTTCCTTCTCGAGTCCACCATGAACGAATACACGGAGCAGCGAAAGCCTTGTGATACCATGAAAGTCGGAGGCAACCTGGACTCCAAAGGATACGGCATTGCAACACCGAAAGGCTCACAGTTAAGGTGGGTGGAATAGTGTAACAATAGGAAACAGTAACGACGCTGATACTGGACTATTGCTGCGATATTCCACCTACCCTGCTGTGCCTTTAATACTTGACCTAAATCAACCTCTCACTGCTGTCTGGTGAAAATTTCTCAACCAAAGAATTGTAAAAATTGACCGAAGTGGATATTGATTGATTCTCGCAAGCGTAAAGTCCCAAATTAACAGTAAATGTTATTGATTTAACACAGTTTATGGATTTATGGCAGTTATATGTTTTTACCGAGCAGCAGTGACTTCGATAAATGTGTTAAACGTGCAAATCATTTGTTTAGTCATGGTTTCTTTTGTTAATACCTTAATTTCTTTTTCCCCCCACTTTCTGCCTTCCTTTTTGTATTGTTTGTAATTCTGTTCGACTCTTTGCTCTCACTTCTGCCATCTGTTAAATCAAAGCATGTCACCTCCACGGTCTTTGTCCTGTGTCGCTGTCATCCATACGTCGCTTTGTGCTTGTGTCCTTCCTTTCTTTTTTGTTGCTATTTTCAACCACCTTTTCTCCACAGGGCCACCTTCCAGGTAACTCTGTTCATTTGTCTGCTATCATCTCACTCTTCCATGATACTGATGATGACAATGATTAAAAGAGAGATTTATTACCAGAGAATGACCACGAGGAGAGGCAGAACCACAGACTGCTGCCACTCCATCCAGAGCCACGGGGGGAATTTATAGACAACCAGGAAAAGAAAAAAAGTGAGGAACAGGAAGCAGAGGGGCCTGTCCAATGGGGGGAATTCAAAGTAAATATAATACAGGAAAAATACAGATCCACAAACAAGAGAGAAAAAAATAATTGACTAAATTCAGCAAAGCTGGACCACTTGCTCACTCCTCTCTCCTCCATCTATCTCTGTCAGCATTTCAGATTTGCCACATAAAAGGCAAAGCACAAACAGCACATCAGCCTCACACCATGTCCTATAACTTTCCCCTGTGCATGGTGCAAAGTTCCTCAAGACCCCTGTCGCCCTGTAGTTTAGCTCTTATTTTCTTAAAAGAGAGAAAAAAAGGTTTTCCCGTTTATGAGGGAAAATTGTGACAGACAGCAAGTGGATAGGTTCCTTTGGAAGCTCCCCCGTAACACATACCTGGGACTATCCACGGTTGTCTCTGGCAGCTCTCAGTCTGCAGAAACAGACTTGCACAAGGCTGCAAGTGCGCACGCCGGGTGAGCCTGCCTCTCCTCCTGGTGCAGTAATCATTTGATGTGATGATGATGATGATGATGATGAAGAAGAGCATGAATACTCTGCTGACTGAGCTGAACATTAATAGTATTGTTTACTTTCTGCTATATGACTCCTTTTGATGTGACTTTTAATATGTGACTGTCATTATCATGCTTTACAGATCTTTTTGAACTGTTTTCATCCATTCCTCTTATGTTGATGAGATTAGTCATGGTCGGCAGATTAGATCACCCCAGAGAACGCTGTCTCTTCTCGAATCTCTCGAATATTGTTTCTAAGCTCTTAACACCAGTGTACCATCAGACCGTCAGAGATGAGATAGTGCTTCCAGATAGGCAAGTGCACAGACAAAGGGCCAGACAAATAAAAAAGTACGCAGCGACTGCTGTGACCGTTGTGCAGAGATTAGTATGGCCGATCAGCATCGCACAAACAAAAGCAGAGCACAGTCGCACAAGAAGAGGATGACAGGAAAGAGTTCATGGGCAGCTGTAAAAATCAAAGATGTGGCAGAGAAAGCAGAAAATGACACAGTCATACCATAACTCTTGGCCCTTGTAAACATGAAACATGATTTTTCAAATAATGTTGCCGCGCAGCAAGAAGGTCCTGAGTTCAATTCCACCAACAGGCGGGGTCTTTCTGTGTGGAGTTTGCATGTTTTCCCCGTGTTTGCGTGGGTTCACTCTGGGTACTCCGGCTTTCTCCCACAGTCCAAAGACATGCAGTTTGTGGCGATAGGTTAATTGATTAATCCAAATTGCCCATAGGTGTGAATGTGGGTGCGAATGGTTGTCTGTCTCTGTGTAGCCCTGAGACAGACTGGCGACCTGTCCAGGGTGTGCCCCGCCTCTCGCCCTATGACAGCTGGGATAGGCTTCAGGATAAGTGGAAGTAAATGGATGGATGGATGTTTGCTATAAATCCAGGATGTCAAACTGATTTTACATTATGGGGCACATATGTCTCGCTTTCATCATAAACAGTCCAAACTCCCTTTTCTGTCAGTGTAAAGATGTTTAACTACACATTTAATCCCATTTAAAATAAGAAAAAGAAGTTTAATTTCAATTTGATGTCTCAGTTGTTCTACATGATAAAAAATTGCTGCTGTAGTAAATGAAAGAAATCTGTTAGCATAAATAAATAAATGTGTAAAATTACAGAAAAACGTTCATGTGGCTCGCTACACGGACTCTACTGCAGTTACAATTACTGGAGAGTAATTCATAATTAATAAATCATCATTAAGAAATATTTCTAATATAGAAATGTCTTTGTATTGTTACTTTGGCGTAGTATGGCCATTGGGGGGGCAGAATCTGGCCCTTATGTTTGACACCCCTGCTAAAAACTGTGTATTGATGAAGTAAATTGCCATTCAAACAGATTCAATTAATTTTTGTTCTTTTTTGCATGGAAAATTTACATGTAATTAAATTACTTAAACATAAACATTTTAGACACTCGAGGCCACACACTGCATGCACATCTACAAAGAAGTATTGGCAAGTAATGATTTTGTATTTCATTAAAATCATGCTAGGTATACAGACAAACATACACTGTACGGATGCCAAATAGTTATCCCTGTGTCCCTGAATTTTGTTTAGAGGTCAGTCCCTTTAACAGAGTAAGCAGGGCCTTAGGAAACTGAGGCCACACAAACACAATGTGCACACACAGAGCAATAGGACGACAGGGGGGCAGCAGGAGGGGCAAGTGCCTCATCAGTACACTACAGAGACCTGGTTAACACACTATATACCAGTAATCTGACACTCACTGTGGTAGCATCTGATTTTAGTGCAGCCAGATACAGAAGAGTAACGCAAGAGGGGTTTTTTTGTAAAACCACAAAACAAATTTGGAAAAAATTCCAGAAGTAAGTCAAGGAGTGATAGTAAGGGAGAGCGTTGTCCGGGGTGCGGTTTTCCCCCTCTAACTCACCTGTATGTGTGAATTCAGCCCATCCTAATTTCTGCTCCCTCTCGTCCTCCTTTTCCCTTTCCTTCTCCTGACTACGGTCCCCCGTCCATCTTGTCTGTTTGTCCCTCCATCCTCTGCTCTGACCAAACTATCTTATCTGTTCCTCCTTTTTTACTTAAAGAAACGCGGTCAACCTGGCCGTGCTAAAACTCAACGAGCAGGGCCTGTTGGACAAATTGAAAAACAAGTGGTGGTATGACAAAGGAGAATGTGGCAGCGGGGGAGGGGATTCCAAGGTTAGCCCTCTCTGTCTGCCCCCCCCACCTCCAGGTGACAGGGGCTGCTCACCAGCTGAGTGGCTCGCGACAGCCCCCGTCCTGGGAGTGTAACACATGCATCTGCCCTGGCAAAGAGTCACGCAGCGTACAGGGAGGATAGAAGAGATAGCTTAAATCTCTTGAGACAACCTGCAGTTGCAAAAATAGGCACATGGTTGCACTGATGTCCACGGTCTGTGACTTTATATATAAGTTCAGACACAATGACAAATGCACTTTGAAGCTTGTTGATACACATACAATGAAAACCCCTGAAATAACTTCTTTTTAAATGAATCAGCTGGCTGGACCTGGTAGAGACCCAGAACCCGATTGCTGGAAAATGTAAATATATCCTACTTTCATTTTGAATCATCAGGGGGGAAAATGCTCATTTTCTTTATAATGCATGGAAAAATATCCCTATTCTGAGTAACTGCCAAAATAAATCAAGCACATCTCATGAAGATAACCATTTTAAAGGTGCTTTGCACTGAACTGGTAATGTCCCTCTGACAGGACAGAGTGCAAAGTAATGGAAAGAGGTTTCCCTGATGGATAGCTGGAATAATAAAGAGAGCAATTACTGTCAAGACGGGAATATTTGCCCCCTAGTGGCAGCTCTGGGAAGAGTAGAGAGAAAACAAACAGTCTAGTTAGAGTCAAATGCAGACACCCCCTGAGAGGCTCAGTTTGACTAAAGGCAAGTGGAGAGATGAATAATTAATAAAACCAAAAAAACCAGTCACAGGATATGTGTGATTTCAGCAATTTGGAACATTTTTCAGCAAAAAAAGTTCTATAGTGTGATAAAGAGTCAAATATTTTAATTTCTAAAAGTATTCAGCTAGATCTTTAACAAAAGTTTCATTCCTTTAGTCAGTTTGAAAACTGAGAAATTTTAAATGCAGTCTATCAAGTTCATTTGAACAGGAATAAATTCTACATGCTTGTTAGTGGCTGTAATTAGATACAGGCTTTGAGCTAAATGCATGCTAATTAGTTGTTATTTGTCATGTAATTAATATTAATTATTGTTAGTATGCACAACTATATAAACTATTATTGAAACCATCATTAGCAGTGTATATATTTAGATTTTGTCACAAATCAAAACATTGAATAAATAAAACTTTGACTCTGTGATGAATTATTTCAATTCATCTTTAGGAACACAAGAATTTCATTGCCTAGTTTCATCCAAATATCATAGCAGTCCATCGATTTTAGTCACAGCCAAAAGTGGTGGACTGGCAGTAGTCTTCCTGTTAGTGTATTTCGATGATGACTGATTGTTGATGACTGCCAACGGATTAATCCTTTGATGCTCACCCCAAATTTCACAACTAATGGGGTCAAAACAGTCAACCAACCAACAGACAGAACTACCCATTTGTTTTCTCTGATGATATGCATTAGGGAGAGTTTAAAGAAAAGATCATTTCTGCTTCGACGCATGCAAAGTAAGTTTGCGAACTTCTCACTCTCCCAGTTGTGACACAGAGCTAGCCTGATGCCAATAGTCCCGGTTTAATAGTAATTGCCTCTGGATTGTTGTAGGTTGAGCTGGGGCAGCATGGGTGTGTTACCTGAAGTGACAAAGGTGGGTCCCACTCATATGTCTGTAGCTCGCCTTAGCTCCTCGCTCCCCCCAGCCCCTCCTCAACGAGCATACACACATGTATTCAGTGGGATCCATGCTAGGTCACTCAATCTGAGCAAAAGTTTTTCTTTGTTACTGAGATGTGCAATGCAAATGAGAAATACTCTAATAACATAAAATAACATGACCTATGATGTTATTTATGTTATTTTTACACGCGAAGAACCCCAGTAAACCTTGCAGTTTTGAAACTGAGCGAAGCAGGCGTCTTAGACAAACTGAAAAACAAATGGTGGTATGACAAGGGAGAGTGTGGACCCAAGGACTCTGGAAGTAAGGTCAGTCTCACGCTGCTGTGGCCCGCAGAACGCTAGCCTGAAACTCTCATCATGAATACTACTGCAACTACTGTCTTAGAAATAGCATTTTAAGCACTTTAGATATTTCTTGAATGTGCTCCACATTAAAATTAAAAGAGTCTTTTTGGATGGTGGACCACATTTACCTCATTTTAAATACAAATGAAGACAACAGTCTTCTTCAGTCTCTGTAGCAATCTGAGGCAATTCCATCTTCAAATCAGTTATGTTGAAATGTATTAAAATATGTAAAATCAACAATCTTCACTTCCATGTTTCTATTTTAATCTCATATGCTAGTCCATTCCACATGAGAATGGCACTGATCCTTATGCATCAGCAATATTAACTTGTTGCAATTACTGTCTCCATTTTATATTTGAGATTTAATCAGGGACCAGCTCCCTTGTTTTCTATTAATTTAAGAATGTTTCCATAATGTCTAGATATGTTATTATTTCCTCAAAACTTTTGTTGAAAGAAGTCAGTCAAAATAAAAAGCAATGATCAGCAGCTACACTCATTTGACTGGTTAAATTGACATGCTGTAAAATCAGTTCTGGAGTGTGCCAGGAGCCCAGCTACACAAATATATATAAATTTTTAATAAGGTAAAAACAGAATGTTGCATTTATCATTAATAGAGTTTATATCACTAATAAATAATATAATGAGCTATAAGCTAAGCTAAAAACAAAACACAACAAAATTATGTTTCTATATCTATGATTACGCTTTAGTATTTGTATAAATGGATCTAAATTACCAATGAATTACAATTACAAAGCAACTGGGAAATAACCAGGGAGTTCATACTGCATACCTCCCCTGTTAAAAACATTAATCAAAATTATATTCAAATTTTTTCAAAGTTAAACCTAAAAATTGTTGCTAAACAGTTTTGGGGTTTTTTTGCCCTGCTATAAATATTTGACATGGGAGTTGCTTTAAGTTTTAACTAAAGTACTGGAGCTTTTCCAAAAAATAGAGCAAAGTAAAATCCCCGCTCAGATTAAAATCTTGCTCTACAAATAATTCACTCTTGCTGCACTATTTTGCACACTGTAACATTTCTAGAACTGTTGAATGTTTTGTAGCTGTAGTGATAGATTTGTAGTATAAAGTATTTGTGGAGTAGCAGATGTGGTGGCAGTAGAGATTAAAGTTTTATATGAGTAGTATGTCAGTTTATATAAGTAGAATGTATTACTGTGATCATTTATGATAATACCATAACTTCAGTACCTGTAACCATATTAATTTTTCTGGTATATTCTCCATTTCTCTGTGTCTAACTTACTGTATCTGCTTTTCTTTGTCTGCTTTTTCCCTCATTTTCCCTTTCCCTCTGATCATTCCCTATTCTGTCTCCACCTTCCTCATTGCACCACTCTCCTTTTACTGCTCTCACCTTGAGCCTACTCAACGTCTCACCTCACTTTTCCCCTTCTTCTCTACTCTTCCTTCCTGTCTACCCACCACTTCTCCTCTACCTGTCCTACTACTACTACCCTTTCATCTTTTAAACACATGTTCCTTGAATCCTCCCTCCCTCCCATCTCTTCAGGACAAGTCGTCCCAGGCTCTGAGCCTGTCCAACGTGGCTGGGGTCTTCTACATCCTTGTGGGCGGCCTGGGCCTGGCAATGCTGGTGGCCCTGGTCGAGTTCTGCTACAAGTCACGGGCCGAAGCCAAGCGCATGAAGGTGGACCTTAGCCCCCCCCACTGCCCCAGCCCCTCCCCCAGCACCCAGAATCTAGCCACTTATAGGGAGGGGTACAACGTGTACGGCTCCGAGGGGGTCAAGATATAGGGGTAGGATTTAGAGGCTCCCGTATAGGTGGGGTAATGGTGGTGTTGAACATGGTGGTGGTGCTGTAGATTTTGTACCGACGAGGCTGTCGCAGCAGCCCCACGCAACCGTGTTGTTCTTCATGTGGTGATAAGTATGTGGTCAAGCATTGTGGAACCAATGTACTTTTTAATTTGTTTTTTTATGTTTTCTGCTTCATTTTGGCTGTTTTGGTTATTTATTTATTTATTTATTGGCAGAATATTTTCTTAGACTTTTGGGTTTAAATTTGGTTTGCGTTTTGTCACGTTTATGTCACCCTGGGCTAGACTGGGGTTAGAATTATGTGACCGCAGATTTGGTTCCATCGTCTTTGGCTGCAGATGATCATGATGGTGATGATGATGATGACAGTGGTGGTGATGCTCTTGGTTAATGACTAGGCACCTGCATTGTAATTTTCAGATAACATATTGAAGCCGCGATGCACAACTCCAGCATTAAATACATTTTGATTTTTTAGAACCTTTTTATTTTGAATGAATAAATTAATGAATATATTATTTATTAATTATTTATATATTAATTACCGTAATTAATGGTGTTGGTTTATTATCTTATTTCACATGTGACATCTTGAGTCCCTTCTTTAAAAGTTTCAAGTTTATTACTGCTAAAAACGTCTTCGTTATCCTCATCTGATGTGTTTTCTTGGTTAAACTTTCACAAGGTTTTAGGGATTATCTATTTTCATTTTTTCACCATCCTGAGAGCAAAAGTTTGTTAATTTGGTAGCCCTCATTAAAATCTGTGACTGCTTCCAGCTACAAATTAATTAGCTAGTGTGCGGACACCAATTACTGTGGATTTGGGTCTGACTTAAAATATTTTTACCCAAAATGTGACAGACATCTTATGATGAAAAGCATTATTAAGATATTTATATAACTGTAGATGTCCGTTCTTTCAGCATAACTAGACATCTCATTACTCCCTCTAGCACCACTGCAATACCAGACAAATGGGTAGAGTGGGTTGTTAATAGCACATGAACGCAGATAGAAATTTGTGTTTGGTCCCTCTTAAGACCAGTTAGTGTTGAGCCAATTCAAACTAATTTAGAGCACGTCTGGTCTTCTGAAAGCTTCAGCAAAGTTGCTGCTGCGCCACATTCCCCCTGAAAAATTACCTTAATCAGTAGAAGTACAAATTCTTGAGGGAGATATAAAATGGCAAGGTGATTTTTTTTAAGCCAACAGCAGCTTTTAATTGCTTTTATTTATTAATTTATTTATTTATATTTCTTTTGTCTGTAAAAACTTTATTTTTCCATTTATCTTAATTTCAAGTGGAAAGATGAATACAGATATTGACGCACGTAAAAGCTAAATTTTCCAACTACCACATTGTTTGTTAGGTATACCTTTTCAGTTATTATTAACGCAATCCAATCAGCCAATCACATGACAGCAACTGAATGCATGTAGGCAGGTGGACATGGCCAAGACACCTCCTGAAATTCAAAAGTGATTTCAGAAACTGCTGATCCACTGGGACTTGTCCCACACTATCATCCCACTGCTTTGAGTTAACAAGCAACAGTGAATCAAATCTGAAGAGTCTCATTTTCTCCTAAACATTTAGATGGTAGCCTGCCTTGTATCAAAGTTTCATGTTGCTGCTGGTGGTGTAATGGTGTGGAGGATATTTTTTGGCACACCTTGGGAAATTTAAACACCATGTCCAGCCTGAGTACAGTTTCTGACCATGTCCATCTCTTTTTCTGAGCAGAGTGTACCCAACTTCTGATGGCTGCTTCCACCAGTATAATACACCATGTCACAAAGCTTGAATCATATCAAACTGGTTTCTTGAATATGAGTATAAGTTCACTGTATTCAAATGGCCTCCACGGTCATCAGATTTCAATCCAACAGAGCAACTTTAGGGTGTGCTGGAACAGACGCACAAAATGTGCAGCAACCATGTAAAGCTATCATGAAAATAAGGATTAAAACAATCTGAGGAATGTTCCCAACACGTTATTGAATCTATGCCACAAGAATGAATACAGCTCTGAACGCAAAACTGGATCCAATCCAGTGCTAGCAAGGTGTACCTTATGAATTGGCTGGTGGGTGTATACTAAGGTACAGGTGAACACAATGGAAATCCTTTGTGCTAAAAAGTATACGCAAACACCATGAGTCTAAATGATCTGTTAATTCATTCCTTTTATTAAATGTGTTAATTCCTTTTGAATTTATAATAGAATAGCCCTTTGTTGTCATTGTACAATACCAAAATATAATATAAAAAATATAAATAGCAGACAGCAGGAATAAATATAGAGAAATTTATACAAAAACAATACAAAGGCACACATTGAAGAGCAAGTTCCAAGTTACCAGTCTCATCTCTGCTGGCTTTTAGTTGATATTGTGTATCATCTACTCTACGTCTCTATTGTGTCATCCAATACCTGGAGTTGTGCATCCTTACTGCAGACAGACAAAAAAGGCACTTTGGCTTTCCAGCTCTGACAATTTCAAAACAGCCCGGTTACTTACTTAGTTTTAATGCAGACGAATAATTGATGAAGCAAGTACTTCATATGGAACAGCTACTCTGTGATGTGGTTGCAACATGACTCATGTTTATTGTTATATAAAGGAGCAATTAACTAAAGTGAACAGAAAACACTGAACATTTCAGTGCGTAGGAAACCATTTAGAGGCATTATGAGGTCATACTTGATGTTCACCTTGAGGAAAGTAGAAAAATCGATACAGAGGATGCAAAAATAAGGAGAGCTAAATGCGCACTGAATGTTGGCTCTTGACATAAACTGACAGTTTTGAATACGATGGAGAATTCACCAAAGACAAACCACTTTCACAGCGGACCATTTTGGGCCACACTCAAAAGTAACAACACTGATGTTAACAGCAATTCCCCAAATGATTATGGTCTGCTATCAGTCATACAAGAATATTTCAAAGAGCAGTGGTACCACACAAAAGAAATTAAATGCATAGGTTATTTAAAAATTCCATGTCTTCTCTTTAATTCTACACTTCACAACCCTTAAAATAAGAAAGCCATACAACGGAAAGGGGAATTAAATAATACACAACATTATTTTCAGATGTTATCTTGTAATTCAAGTATACAAAAGTTCACACAAGAACACCTGATTCGAAGTTTAAGATTAAGAATGTACTATTTTTCTTTGCTAGCATCGTTTAAACAGATTATTGCCTCTAGATGTTCAGTGTACTCAGTTTGAAAACCTCTAACATGATTTAGCAGGCGAGAAATTTTAAGAAAACAAAACATCCCAGAGTAGCTCATCTGTGTGAAGTGTCACCCGACTCTGAGCAGTATAGCCAGTCACTCCCTCTCTATGAATTTGAAACCCTGGAAGAAAAATCACTCCTTCCCGTTTTCCCTCTGTCTTTCCAAAGTCCTCACCATTTCAATCCTGTCCTTCCAAATCCACACCCGAGTCTGTCAGGTTACTGAAACCCAGAACCCAAAAACGCATGGTCACCTATGAAATGCAGTTGTCTAAAACACAAACCCTTCTTGTCTATAGTGTACATGTTTGTGGATTGTTGCCTGCCTCTGTATGCTACAGTAGCATTTGCACAGCGTGGTAGCCTCTTAATGAGATTTGAATGTGCAGTTTAGGGTGCTTTCACACCTCATCTGTTTAACGTAATTCAAAAAGAGGATTAGAGCTTTTTTTTTTCTAAAATACAAATGAATACTAACATCAAATCAAAACATTTTACATCGTTCTCTAGATAACCTCTAATTTGGTGTCAAAAACAAACTTAAAGGTTTCCTGTGGCGTTTTTTATCATTAGTACCACAATGTATGATTGCCTGTTTTATTTTATTTTGTTTGCATCATGCACAAGAATGCACATGTACTCTTGCTAGTAATCGCTTAGCACAGCAATTCACAAAAAAGAGAAGAAGTGCTAGCAAGTAAAATGTAAATTAGAGTTCAGTCAGCACCACTGTGATGTAAAGATGTTATTTCCATTTGCAGTGGTTTATATTTGGAGAGCATTGCTCTCTTCTGGGACTTCCCTACCCTTTCTCACGCATATGTGGAAAGCATAAGTCAGGGAGAGCACTCCTCCCTGCCGTTTCATCTGCATATAGGAAAGCTGCAGGAAGGCTGAGCACAAGCAAGAGCCTTGATATGGATCTAAGCAGGCATTAAGGACAACAGCAAATTACTGATTAAGTCGGACACAACAAGAAAGGAGGAGATGGATTGGAGGTGGGATGCAAAGCTGCTTGCAGATGCATGCATTACATAGCACACTCGGTCAAGATGTCACATAACAAGAAGCCTACATTCCAGGCTTTTATTAGCAGCTTTTATAATGCTCCCACAGCCTCAATGAATGAAAGTTTTTAAAAAGTAATGAATAAACTTTTTCTTTTTAAATGAAGTTTGTTTACACGAGAACTCTACAGGTCACCTTTAACAAGTGCAATTTCAAAATTTGATATTTTCCAGGCTATTGAACTGAAATCCATGACCCTTTTTTTATTTTGGTTTGTTTAATAATTAAAAAAAGGAATAAGCTTCATGTCTCATATTTGGTCAGCATTTTACAATAAGAGACTTGTTTAGCCACGTACGACTTTACTAACTACTTTAATTTAGGGGACACCTGAAGGGGAGGTTACGGTGAAGCAATCCTGAAGTAATAAGGAACTGCTGAGTTAAGTAGCATCTCCCAGCTGGGTATTTGGTAAATAATCATTTTTATACTATAAAATCCAGCATCAGGCATTATTAGGGTAGAACTGATGAATAACTCATTAACTACTGGGTTGCTCCTTATTCATTCATTTACTACTACAGCTTCTATTCCTACAACCAAGCAATTGTTTGTGTCTCTTATTGTAACGTGTTTTCCTTATATGTTGATCTAATGGTCTTTTTAGAGGGATCAAAAAGATGCTGACTAGAATTTACCAAACCACAGGCTAATGTCTTTGTTACTTTTGTTAAACACCCTTGAATACAAAGACATGTACTGAATAATAATAATAATAATAATAATAATAATAATAACAAGTGTAAAAGGGAAATTAAGTACGTGATCAGTTTGAGAAACGGCAAATGTTTCAAATTTTTATTTGATCAATTATTTAAAAGAAGAATCCATCATCAGAGTTGCCTCTGATTAGCTTGATAATTAATTAAATCCTTTATTTGGTTCCTGTAGCACTGGTTTGCTTATGTACAAACTCCAAACAGCAAAACCTTCTCAATATAATTTTAACTATTTCAAATATTTTATATGTCTACGTGATCGCGCCCTGAGACCTTTTTTTTGTATTTGTGAGCCTAATATGTGTAGTGTGTGTACAGGCACATGCATGTGTAAGTGCTTTTTGTGCATGTGTTTGTACAGAAAGCTGTCGTTTTAGTTGTTGTTGCATTTGCTGTGCGGTGTTTCTGTCTATGAGAGTGTTTTCTTTTTCTCAAACGATATCTCCACTCTGCTATTTCCTCCCCTTCTCCTGTCCTCCCTTTCATCTCTCCTCATGTAGCTGTCTTTTTCTGAAGCCATGCGGAACAAGGCTCGTCTGTCCATCACAGGAAGTGTGGGGGAGAATGGCCGCGTCCTGACGCCAGACTGCCCCAAAGCTGTGCATGCTGGCCACGCCTCCCTCCGACACCCCGGCCTTGCAGTGGTCTCCTCTGGACTGCCCTGAAAACCAAAAAACACCTGCCGTGCCTTAACAACACACAAACATACTAGGACTTCGACAAAGACCCAAACACACACTTACATACAAAAAGATCTATATATATATATGCTCACACACCCGCACGTACATGATCATAGCGACAGAAGCTCAAATATTCAGATACAGAGAAACACATTTTTACATGAAACACACACACACCGCATCATCATTTCACATTTCCTGCTGCCACTGACTCATTTTACAGAAGACTGATGAATACAACTGTGGAGCGAACGGTGTAGAAACAGAGCAATGGACAACTATGGCGTCACACTTGCCTGCAGCATTCTTTTCTTTTTAATTTTCTTTCTTATCTTTTTTTTTTTGAGAGGATGCCAATATCGCGAGATCATCGAACCAACAGGAAAGCCAGCACAGATTCCCATGAACAATGAGCTGTGAACACGACCATAAAACTGATCATGATGATGACAGTGAGAAAGATGATGACCACAGCCGACGAGAGGAAAAAAAACAAAAAACAGACAACCAAACTACTTAGCTCCCGCTCTCTCGTCATTGGACAATAAGCCACACCCCCTTAACAGCGCCTTACTAAGACGACAAACATTGTTTTCATCATAATCATCATCACGGTCGTCATCAATTTAACTTGCCTGCGAAGAGTGCCAGCTAGTATAACCCTTAGAAGACCAGAAAACTGTAAGCTTGAACATTTGGACTACTCAGCCATGGACTGCTCAAAATGAATGAAAATGCTTATAGAATGGTTTCTCTCCCCAAACCAGCGAGTTAATCAATATAGAACAGAAGTAACCTCCAAAACACAGACTACACAGGGGTTTGTAAAAGAAAAAAAAACGTGGTGATTCATGGAGCCCCTCATCAACAGCATCAACATGACAGTAGAAATTCTAAATAGCAAAGTGATGAGTACTTATTTTGCCGAGTGGGTGAGGTTGATAAATAGAGAAAAAAAAATAAAAAATACATGGGCAGATCTCAAATGGCTTCCTAACAAAGTGTTTCTCAGCCTGACAACTGGGATCTTACAGACGTTTGCAGAAGAAATGAATGAGACGTTTGAAATACGTTGGGTAAAAATCTTTAAAAATGTGGGAACGCATTCATTTTCCACTGTAAAAGGCAACTGATATTTGAACTATAAAGGCCAACTTTGACAATTTCCAATTCAGTTCAACTCACATGTGCAGTTTGGTTGTTATTTGAGATCCTCCATCTTTTCCAGTCGCTGGGAAAAGGTACCATATCAGAGAGCTTGCTTTTTAAAACTGTTGTAAATAACTGCGTAGCAAAACAGAATTCACCTGTCTTTTTTAATCATCTTAGATAACAATTCATTGCAATAATGAATATAAAAAAATGCCACTACTTGTAATTAAGATGAAATTTTTTTTTATAAATCTACATATTATATATAATACAAATAAATAAATATATATATATATATATAAGCCTATAGAGAGCTATAGAAAACATTGATCACTGATTGTCAGAGGCCATGGCATACATTCTGTTCAATGGCTGTTTTTTGATAACTTGAAAATATTGAAATACCACCGTTTTCATGTGTCCGAAACAACACTGAATGTCCATCTGGCACTCACAGAGACACACACATGGAAACATGCGCACATACATAGTTGCATAGACGCGGTCGGCTCAAACCATAGAACCATTAGTTATTCACTGCTTTACACTGTCTAATAGTGTCTTTACCCCCCTCAAATCTATGTTTTGTTAGCTGCAAAGCCACTTGAAACAATGTAAAAATGCCACTGTTTATGACTGTACGTAGAGGCGGTAGATCAGTTTGACTGCTGTACTGCTGGGAAATAGTTTGGGGCATTTTCAAAAGTGTAGCACTAATGGTGCTTTTATTTTTTTTTTAATCACATTTTGTCATCGCGTTTCGTTCACATTCATGTTCAAACTGAACGGGTTTGCGCTTCAATAAGTGGACTATGTTTTCCCCCGAATCTATATAGTACGGTACATTTTTGGGGACCTGAAAATAGAAAAATGCATATTGCATTAAAGACCGGTGTGTAGGTGTTAGTGACATCTGGCTGTCAGATTGGAGACTGCAACCAGCAACAAACTTACAGTCAACGTCATTTCAACAGAAAAACACAAAGGCCCTCTGGCATTTGGCTGGTCCAAACCTGGCAATATCCAATGAAGACGAGCTGCTTCCTGTGTATGTATGAAGGGCTCATTCTAGAGTACTGAAACACAGTCATTCCAGGTACAGGTTGTTATATAATGATGAAAACATGCTTAAAGAAGCACTCTAAATCCTGCACACTGATCCTTTAATATCTGAGGAAATCTTGGTAAAAAAATAAGGGAAGTAAATTAGTGCAGTTATTATACTGCAATACAGCTAAAGCATGATGCTTAAGATCTGTGTCATAATGCAGCCCGATACTGTATGTTTATGTTTTTTGCCTTTCCAATTTTGTTATTTTATAGTTTGTCCTTTACCCTACCTCTCACCTGCTTAGGCCATCATTGTTCCTTCCCCACGTTTTGTCTTATCTTCCTTTGGCTCGTGTCTCCCCTAACATGCAAAAAGCTCTGTACATAGCACATCTCAAGAATGATTTCTTGAAAATATTTTAATTTCTTGCCCTAATCCAATGCAAAGTAACAGGCTAGAGATTAATCAAGAACCTGAGACACCGGTTGACAATCTGAGTTTCTTCTAGCTCTGCGTTCTCAGCGTTGCTTTCCTTCTGTATCATAACCTTGTCTGTTGAACTCGCACCTCATCTTGTATTAGTCCTGCATCAGATCTATTCAAGCCAAACAGACAAACACATAAACAGAAAAGAACCTCTTGAATCTACATGTATTTCCGACAACAGATTTAAACTATCCATAAATTTTACCAGTAAAGTAGAAATGTTCTACTCACTTCTCGGCCGAGGGGATCAGGAGCCTGCAGAAGTACTGCACCAATCCAGCATGAGAAAAAATGCTCAAATAGTGGGTTTCTTACAGTTATCACTAATCTAGCTCACTAGACCAGAAACACCAGACACTTCAACCTCACATGATACTGTTGCCTTTTCTTTTTTTTTTCATTTATTTTATTTTTCACCACCAGAGCATAAGATTTTGTGCGAAGACAGCAAAAAGCTGACCGGTGGGTTGTCAATGCTCTGGCTTTAACAGTTTCTTTCTTCCTTTATTTCTTTCTTTCCATCAGTTTTCTTTTTTCTAGTAAAACATCAATGCTCAATCTCCTGTCTCTGTCTGTGCTTATTTATCCAGTAATCTCAATTCTACACCTCCAACAGCAGAACGGTGGATTCATTTTCAACCAGATGATGAAATTGATATTGATCGCTTTATTTAATGGTTTGTTTCACAATGAAAGATCCATAGTCAAATATACTTAACTGGACTGAGGTAAGTACTAACTAAGCAGTATGAAACATGAGAAAAAAGCAACATAGAAAGAAGGAAAGAAGAAAGCCAAGGAGTTCTACAGTTTGGACAGATTTAGACAGACTCCCAACAAAAGTACTGGATTAACTTTGGAATTGCAATCAACTTATAGCCACAGTTTTCAGGGATTCAGAAGTAACTGGAAAAAATTTAATTTTATCAATTTTATTGTTTTTATCTATTTATTTATTTAACATGAAAGTGATTTGAACTCGATCCCTGTAGTCTAGAAACCCTGAGCATCACCAAATGCTGTGTTTCCTCCCGTGAGATGCTCTGTTGCTGCTTGTTTGTGGGTCTTTCTCCATTTTTGTATTTAATAATTGAAAAGCATGCTCTACTCATATCAGGTGACTGACTTCACCATTGAAATATACAGATTTTTTTTTTTTTTTGCCTTGAGAAACGCTTGGTTTTCTTGTGTATGACTTGAGTCATCATCCTTTTCACTGTGAAGTGCTGTCCGATCAATTTTGCAGCACTTGGCTGAATCTGAGCAACGAGAGTCAACAGCTCCACTGGCACTCATACATGCCCATGCCTTAACATTGCCTTCACCATGTTTGATAGGTAATGTGCTATGTTTTGAATCACGAGCTGTTTCTGTCAGTCTTTATACTTTTCTCTTCCCATCATTTTGGTACAAGTTTAATTTGGTTTAATCTGTCTTTTAGACATTTTATGTCAAAGTCTAATCTGAGCTCCTTGTTCTTGAGCATAACCAGTGGTTTGCACCTTGTTGTAAACTCTCTGTATTTATATTCAGGAAGGCATCTGATAGTCAACTTTAACAGTGAAACTCAAACCTTCTTAAAAGTCTTCTTCACTTAGGTTGATGTTGAGGTTTTCTTAACCAAGTAAATAATTTGCATCTGCTTTAGCTGACACGTGTAGTCTTTTAGGTCTTTTTAAGACTATAACAGATCGCTGATTTTACCACCCTTAAGGTTTGTCTATCTCTCTGATAGATTTGTTTTTATGGCCTAATGATGGCATGACCTCATACTGAGAGCTACAGTTAACATCTACCAAATCCAAATTAAACACAACACTTGGAATCATCTACAGATCTTTTATCTGTATAATTACTTTTGAGCCTCAATCACATCTTCAGTCACATATTGATTGTTAACTGTGGCCAGTTTTTTGCCTCAGCTGCCACTGTTATTTGAAGAGATAAGAAAACAGAATTCAATTGACTGCAATCTGTATGTAATGTACTGACATCTAGTGGTGAGATCATACACACTGTACCTTTAAATTCTACTATAGTTGTGTACAGAGGCAAAAAGGGTTATTGCATTTTTTCCACTTCTAAATCTGTAAAACTACTACATGCACAAAATACATGGTTGACTTATATGAATAAATTAGCACTTAATGTTGAGGAAAGTTAATGAAACACTTAACTGCCAAGGTACAACAGGCACAAGTATATAACATCTCCCGATAGAGCAAGTTTAAGAGTGTAAAGTCATTATGAGACATTAAGTACACACAGTTTTAGGCAACTCGAGTCCTGACATACTCCAAAGCTGCTTTTATCCACATGTACCAGCCAGCAGGTCATAGTCCTCTCTTTACAAATACTCTTTTTCAGGTAAAGATAGAGTGTGCAGGAGCCATGACACATGATCCCCACTTATTCACAAACAGCAACATGTGAATATACAATAATTGTAGTATTTTTGATGCAGGCTTATCCACAACATAAACAAGTGTTAGGATTTCAAGGTCAGGGTTTACTAATCTTGTATTTAATCCCAGATCTACCAACCAAACACACTTTTCCTGAGGGTTTCTTGTCTTTGAGTGAGATTCTAATCAGAGTCATTCATACCTCAGCCAGACCATCACACAGCCCAGTTTACTCAGGATTCGTTAGACTAGTTTCTGGCACAGAGATAAACAGCCATTAACCACCATGGAGCAGGGAGGTTTGCAGAAAGATCTAGCTTTTCATGTATTATCACCAGTACTATGCTCACATCGCTACAGTCAAATGGGAGCAGAGTAGGGACCTGGCAGCTTAAAGACCATCACTGCCCAACCAAACTGAGAAGGATACAGTTTCACCATGAACTACTGAGAAATGATCCGCACCCCAGAGCAAAGCGTTAAAAAAAAATCAATTAATTCAAATTCAAATTTATATTTATTTATAGATTTGTTACATGTAAATACTAAATAAAACACGTTGCAAGTAGCAATATAAAAGCAGGCAATAAGACCAGAAGTTACAATGATTATTTGATGATTTTGCACTCATTGAGTTTCTCTAATAAGAAAAACACTTTTACAATGGAGAATTTAACACAACACCAAACTGAAATAAGTTCATGGATATCATCTAATTGTCTATAGATTGCATGCAGCTTCAGGAACTATTTTAGTGTTTTGTTTCTACATATTTTCTGCTTTTTGCTTTGCACTTAATAAGCAAAAGGATCATAGCAGATGAGGATTACTGCGTCCATTAACTTGACTTAAAAACTAAAAAAAGGGTTGGATTTTTGTGTCTGTACTCGTGCCATTACATGATTTTAAACCAAAACGAAATCGCTCAATCAGTGGTTTTGAGAAATCCATTTTTCTCCGGAGACAGATGGAGGTTTTGGGGTTTTTTTTTAAGTTTTACAGGACTTCTTATGTGTCTGCCCTGTGTGATACCAACATGTCTCAGTCTCTGCCGCTGTAGACCTGCCGTTATGGGGTTAAAAACTCCCTGCTGTGAGTTTGTCATTTGGGTTGTATTTTTCTTCAGTCCTTGGGGATCTAACACTCTTAATGCAGAGCTATCACCAACAAGCATTTCCCATTATTTCCCATCTCACTCACGCTCTCGCAGAAACCCACACATGCGCTCGCACACCATGCTGTGTTATTACTGACAAGTATTTCCCATTTACTTGAAGATGAAGCAAAATAACAGTTTTGTGGAGTTCCACCACCCTTTTAACCTTGCACCTTCGTGTGCAAATGCACACATGTGAACGCTCACACGCCTCCCGTCTGCCTCTTTTATCGTTACTGCAGAGTGACAGCAGCCTTTTCACCTTTTTATTTTTACTGACACGATTTATCTTTCTCAGCCTCTGCCTTACCTTCGCTCAGCTCTGCATTATCCCCCTTCTGCTCGGCCCCACCTCATTTCTCCTCTGCTCTCACTGCTCATTCTCTTTATCCTCCCCTCCTCTTGTCATATCTTATTTCTCCTGTTTTGCATTCGTCTCTCAGGGGGAATCCCTGTCACACCGTGATTTGTCATCCACAGCTCCTTTCCCGTTATGACCACCTCCCCTGCTCTCTCTTTTTCTTGAGGCATTTCTCACGATCTGATAGAAGATTAAATCCCAACACTCTTAGCACACACAGGCAGCTCACCGTTGTGCTGGTTTGTTGTTGTTGTTGTTGCCACTGCAGCTGCTAGGATCTGAATATTTTAAGACTGTTAAGAAGTGGGGTTACTCTAGTACATACTACCTACCTATACGCGTACAGAGCTGGAGTAGCCGCACACAAAAAATGAGATGACAATAAATAAATTCACTGCTGGGATTCTTCAGGGTTAAATTAGTGCAAATTTTCTGGCTGAATGAATAATAAATGAGATTGTTTGTCATTTAATGCCAATGGAAAAAGAATGACTAAAATATTTTCAGTTTCGATTTATGAGTAAATCAAATGGAACTGGTTACAAAAAACAAAAACACTTTGCTTCTGGATGATTGTCTTAGCTTTTTCTGCACACTGTGACAACTAATTGCTGATTTCTCTGACAGTAGTAACACACGCACTGGGAGTCGAGGTCAAATGTCAGATTACATACAAATCCATCATGGCACCAAATTTACTTCACGAGAGTCCAAGGAAGTTGGAAAGAAGCTGCTGAAGGGAGATTTCAGATATGCAGTTGACTGCAAAAAGTAACAGAATTCGTGCATGTGAGAAGCTCTAAATAAAATTTATGAAAAAATATTGCCTCCCTGCAACACTGTGGTTTCTGGTCTATATTAGCAGAGCCTGTCGTGTGAGGGTTGTGTGCAGGCAGGAGTGGTAGGAGGACCCAAAGTGCAGACCGTCTCGGACAAAAGGTGAATTTAAACTCAGATTCATTGCTAGATGGCAAACAGAACTAGCAACACTGGGAATACAAATAATAAACTGAAGACAACAAATAACCTGACATGGCAAATGGCCAGAACACACAGCAAGATGCGAATAGATCACAACACAGACACAGAGAAACACAGGGCTTAAATACACAGAGGGAGCAATCAGGGAATGGGTAACAGGAGGGAAACACAGCTGGGGCAAATCAGGCCTAATGAGACAAGGGGAAGCGAAACCAGATACATTAACATCAGACATGGACCTTCAAAATAAAACAGGAAACATAACACAGACTGAACTAAAGACACAGACTCACACGCAGGCACTGCAACAGAGGGAACAGAGACGTGGGACCAGGACAGACACAGACACTGACTGGACACGGGGATATCGCAGACAGGGGAGACAGCAACTAAGGATGCACAGAGACATAAACCATAAAAGAGAACTCTAACAAAGAAACCCAAGATTAGAAATGATAAATAGTACAATAAATTCAAAACCCTGGGTCAACGACCCAGGCATCCTAACAGAGCCATAGTAGCCTACCAGATATTTGTTATGAAAAAAATAATAATAATAATATTAATAAAGGACCTAAACTCAAATAGTTTTTTAGATAATAGAATTTTAAAATGGCCCCTCAAAAAATCATCTAACACCTTTTATTAAATTTTATTTTTTGGAAACCTAATCACAGTAAAAGAAAAAAAATTCAGACCAATTTATGCACATCAAGTGGGATTATTTTTTTCTTTTTTGTTTCGTAATTTGATGGATTTAGATGGAATGACCCGAAAAGCCTTGATTTCTCTCACAGAGGAACAGCAGACACCAACCAGTTTTAAGTCACTGACAATCAACTGTTGTACAAAGCCACTTTCATGCTCTTCTATCCAACTAACATGTTGAAAGCAAATTTATCTTGACAAGACAAGGGTTTTTATTAAATTATGCATCCACTCCAACAGAAATATCAGAATATGCAGTAAAACAGCACATTAGGTTTAATCAGTACCTCATCAGATCAGTGTTATCATTACTTACATGACTCAACGTGTCTCAGAAACAAAACCAAATTCCTGTTTTTGCACTTTTTTTGGCTTTCAATGCACAGTCACAAAGCATTTATCATTAAAGGAATTTTACAAAACGATGGGTTAGAATGGGACTAGACGGGCAGAATGTTCACTTTCATTACTAATCAGATTGGCTTCGTAATATCTCTTCTCTCTTTTATAGACTGCCAACGAGAGCTCTTACAGCAAGTCTGAGAAGAAAAACCTGAGATTACCTCTAAAGTCCATCCACTGTTTTTCAAATCTTGAAACAGCTGATTTTAAGGTATTAGACCCCTGAAATCCTTGGACACAGATCTTTGAGCTGTAGCGAGCTCTGTGACCTCTGGGCAGGCAGCTTTTAGTTTTTATCCTCGCCACCTGTGAAACAGTCTGCCACAGGACCTGCGGGCATCTCAGTCTGTGCACAGTGTTTTACCTTCACAACGCTAACAGCGCTCTCTCACTTTTATTTCTTTTCTTTTTTTCAGAAAGGTTATAAATGTGTAATATCTGTTAACCTGATATAATGGGCTGCATCACTGAATAAGGTCAAGTAAAGTTAACACGATATCAGGAAGGAAATATTGTATTGTTTTTTTTCCTCTAATAAGCTCACACAGTCTAGACAGCAGTCAGTTGACTCAATATATGACTTCAGTGCTGAGGGACTCTTTGAATCAACATAGTGGATTTTCAGATCACGTCTAAAGATAAAGCAGAGCCTTTTGAATGAGGCTTTCCTCTCTCAAGTAGAGACGAGTATAAACCATGGGACCGAGAAGTAAACTAGCCTTTTGTGATTTGATCTGTCGGGCTCGACCACCTCGCTTTGAATGTGTGTCTTTGTTTGTGTAAGCCCTCGGGTGATAATGAAGGTCTTTCTTATGAACTTAAATGTTTCACTTTCAAGTGTCACCAGGTTACATCAGATTTAGTAAAGTCCTCAAAAGTTGCAGTTTTTGAGAGGTGCATCAGGGACATTTCAGCAATTGTCCCTTCTTCTTAAAGAGCATCAGTGCAGAAGAGTAAAAACTTTTGCATTTTTTCTTATTATTCTCTTTTGTCGTTATGCATAAAGACATGAAAGGGCCCTCACAGCTTAATCATCAGAAGCAGCACTTTAGGATCTGGATGTATAACAGATTTTGTTTCATTCTGAGCACCACAATTTTTGAAATTTCTCTTTATCAACAAGTATTTTAGCAAAAAGGCACAATTTCAGGAAAATATTTTAAAAAGACGCACTTGTAATGCATTCTCCACAAAGTCCAATACCCAGATTTTGTTATTTTAATTGACCCAGACCTACACCCCGATATTTAACCTTTTCTTTGCCTGTGTTCAAAGAAAGTTTCATGAATTTGGGCTCCGTAGACTTTAGTTTTATATAATAACATATTCATACTATGATTGAATGTCAAATATAAATCAACATAAGAAAAAAATATCTAACATTAGGAAAAAGTAACAATATTTATGATGACTATTATTATAATTTTCAATATAAAAGCTTGTGTTTGGTGTCATTGATGTTACAGATGACACAGCTTTTAGTACAGTATGGATTACAGTCTTCAAAGCCAGTAATACTTTACAGCATGTTTACAGCAAAACTTTCATTACTTCACTTACAGTATTTTTTTTAGCATGCACATCAAACTTGCTGATCAGAAATTCCTTTAAAAATCTTGCAAAGTCCTTCCTGACATGAGTAGGAGGAATACAGATGTGTGGTGTATAAAATCAGCAATAGCTGAATTCCATTTAGGTTTCTCAGTATCAGGGTTGTGGTGTGACTCGTGTTGGATCAGTGGTAGTGATATTAGTATCTAAAAGCCTGTGAAAAGGTGAGATATCAACTTAAAATATTATTGTCAATCGTGTTTGTCTTCTGTGAACTAAATTTTTTCTGTACAACAAAAGTTGTGTGCTTTTTGTTACAGTTACACTAGAGAAAACGGTGGTTGGAGATCGCAGAACGCCGCAAATTATTGTGACCGTGTGCAATGACCATGCAATTTTGCTGCCTTTAAAATGACTGACAGGGACCATGTCTGCACGCAGTCAGGTGTCATCTGACTGACATTAGAACAAATTTAGTACGTCAAGACGGCAAAAAGAAAAGCAAAAGGACAGAGTCAGTCTGCTGTCAATTTATAACTGAATTAACAGAATCTGTGATTAACTGTCATAAACAGGTGGAAACTGAATCTGTGAGCCTCTACATACACAAAATTTCACATTAAACAGAAATTCACAATCACTACTTACATTCACAGTCCAAATATAATATAAAAATTCCTCCACAATTGTTGGTTTAGTTGCTGTAACATGGTGATTTAACTTCAAAATGACAGAAGTAACTGGGGATCAGTCCTCTTGGCTGAGGCTACCCAATGTACACTACACCCAACCAGGCAAGGTGTTGGCATCCTGCCGTGAGGATACCTCGGCGTAGACCCAAGACACACTGGAGAGATTATATCGCTCAGCTCGCCTGGGAACATCTCGGTGTGGTAGGCCTGGGCTTCTCTTCTTAGGCTGCTGTCCCTGCAACCCAGCCTCAAATAAGTAGAAGAAGATGGATGGATGGATCAATGGATCGATGACACAAGTGCTCCCTAACTGAAATAAACAGGAGAAAACAGTGCAAGGAAAACAATAAGGCAGCTCACCCCTTCTGTTCCAGTGCTATTTACAATGTGCTATTTACAATGAAAACTAATGTACACACTATATACAGAACTGAGAAAAGTCGCACAAAGTCACAGGCAAAAATGTCTCAGGTTTTGGAGGCCAGGGTCAGGTCTGCTGCTGCTGTCAGTGGCTGCCCAGGGACAACTGCTGGTGGAGGGATTTTGAATGCGACCACATGATCGCGGACCAATCGGCAGCCGTCAGCTCATCCACTCAGGGACCTGCAAAGACTTAAAGGCACAGACAAAGGAAAAAACCACCAAAACAGATTATCAGCAATCACCTTGCAACCAAAAGTGGCCAACCAGAGGTAGGTGGAGTTGCACACTTACCTTCTATGTGACCAGTTCATCGCAGCTATTTGCAGTTGTTTACCAAATGCAAAATATTCAATGTAATCATAACGCAACCACCATTTTTTCCTAGATGCAAGGAGGTTACCATCATATGCTTACTGTAGTGTGACTGAACTATTTGTTTTTCAGTAATAGATAGGCAAGGGTTAGGGTTTATAGGAGTTATAGTACAATAGCACTATTTCATATATATACTTAAATATTTCTGCACCAATAAAGATTAATTGCACTAACAGCCCAGTATTTATTTAACATCTTCCACAGCACATTTCTGTGAACTGGAGTGCTGAACATCAGCCAACAGTTGTTGCATGTGGCCGCTGATTGTGCCGAACAAATATTACACCCTAAGGCACTGTTCTCGGGCTTCTTCTTGGCCATTTAGGAAAGATCACTAAAGTGTCTCGCACCAAACGTAGACAGTATGTCTGTGAAAAATCTGCTGCTAGTACCAATAGTGATCTGGAGACATCTAATTTATTCACCCTGCTCATCTACCATCTTTTTCTCACTCTTATCAGATTTTTACTGACAAATGGTCCTTGTGGAGCTGCATTCTCTCTTTCTCCACTTGCAGGCGCTCTCTCTCAATCTGCAACCTGCCAGCCTCAAACTTGATGAACTGCAGTCTCTCCTTCTCCAGCTGCAGTCTCTCCTTCTCCAGATTTAACTTCGCTGCCTCCAAGTCCGCCGCCGACACTCCCTTCTCCCTCTGTCCATCATGAGTTGAGGATAAGGACGAACGAGAGGAAAGGACTGGGCCTTGTTGCGGCGGCAGGTTAAAAGAAGAGTTGACGTACTCTGATTGGCCAACACGCATGAGTCTCAGCCTCTCTCTCTCCACATGTAACCTCTCCTTCTCTATTTGCAGCCGCTCTCTCTCCACCTCTGTCTGACGAAGTCGCTCTTTCTCCACCAATAGCCGCTCTTTCTCCACCACCAGGCGTTCAGTCTCCACAGCCAGCCTTTGTTTCTCTAGCTCCAGACGATGTTTCTCAACAGCAACCAGACACCCTGCTCCTATGTTCTCGTCACTGCTGAGTTCACCCAGCATTCCCATCAGGCCACCGGGCAGCAGTAGATTTCTGCTGGTGGTGGAAGTCGGATCCTTGGAGGGGCTGGGCATGCCCAAGTCATTGTGGGAATAAACATCAGTATCATGCCCCTCTACACGTGCCTCGATGTCACAAAGGAGAGAGGGAATATCATCATCATCCATTTCTCCATCTCCCACATCCCCATCCAGCTAGAGGGAAGGAGAAAGAGAGAGAGAGTCATCATTTAACAGGTTTTCACACATATGTGGATAACCAGTGGGGAGATCAGCAGCAAGGCTTTCAGCGCAGAACGCTGCAGACATCAGTGGTCGCAGACATGAAATTGATTAAGTCAGACAGCATGAAAATGAGGAGCTGGGGTGCAAAGTGGCCTGCAGATGTGCATCAACTGTAGCAACACCTTAACTATTGGATGTGTTTGGTATCAGCAGGATGAGGAGCTCCTCTGGGTCGGCATAACTAAAGCGAACGCCACACTTATTTCTAATTCTCACAGGAGACTCTGAAGCAAGCCTTCACAAATAAACCCAAAGAAAGATGCGCTCAAGAAGCACTGAGGTAAATGGGGGATCCTAATTTCTCCTGAGTTATTTTCTTGTTTTTATATAAATGATACAGCATTAAATACAGTCATGAGCTATTCTGAGTCATCAATCTGGATTTCTGGCTGAGAGTTTATCCCCAAATTATTTTTAAACTAAATCTCTGCGACTACATTTGATGGTTTCATGTGCTGAGCTGATTATTTCACGGTCTGCACACAAACCATCATCACTTCTTTTATTACTGCAGATTCTCTGGCTGATAATATGTACCGCTATACTAGATATCGTGCAGTTTTATATTATAAGGCAGTATTAAATCAACCAAAGACACAAAATACTGGAGAATTTTTGAGATGTATAAATATCTATATTGGCAAAAAAAAAATTTCACTCGCCCATCCACATCATTGAATTCAGGAGTTCTGATCACTTCCATGGCCACAGGTATATAAATTAAGCACCTAGGCATGCAGACTGACTCTACAAACATGGCTCGCTCTCAGGAGCTCTTTGAATTCCAAGTCGAGTGGTGAAATTTCCTCATTAGTAAATATTCCACAGTCAGCTTTTAGTGGCATTATTACAAAGTGGAAGCAACTGGGAACGATGGTAACTCATTTTACGTAGGCTACGTAAAATCACAGAGGAGAGTCAGTGGATGCTGAGGCGCATAGTACGCAGAGGTCGCCAACTTCCTGCAGAGTAAATCGCTACAGATCTCCAAACTTCATGTGGCCTTCAGATTAGCTCAAGAATAGTGTGTAGAGAGCTTCATGGAATGGGTTTCCATGTCCGAGCAACTCACATCACCAAGTGCAAAGCAAAGCGTCGGCTGCAGTGGTGTAAAGCACACCAGCACTGGTCTCTAGATCAGCAGAGACATGTTCTTTTCCAGGAGTTGGGCTCGGCCCCTTAAAATAGTGAAAAGAACAAGACATTTTGGACAATTTCATGCTCCAAACTTTGTAGGAGCAGTTTGGGGATGGCCGCTTCCAAGGTTGGATGGGCATCATATTAAACCCTATGGATTAAGAATGGGATTTTTCTCAAGTTTATATCTTTTTGAAGGCAGATGAATGAACACTATATAGCGTATACTGCATATACTAACTCTTTAGCTGCTGTAACAGGAAGCGTTGTCTCATAAGATAAGAGTGACCAGTGAGATTTGATCTAAAAGCAGATCTTAATGTAATCACAGAAAAGTAATATTTAAATGTCAGTCTTCAATTATATCCTAATTAATTAACACGTGCTTAATTTAATTTAGTCTCTACCTTGTGAACCTGCAGGAGTACAATCAACAGACTGGACTGACTAGAGACACTTGAGCTGCATAATGTGTATTAAGTAATGGCTGGTAAGGACATTAATTTGACTAATTACACATTAGCAACACTTGAATTTCAACATAGGCTGTTTGTCTTCTCATAATATTAGCAGCTCTGTATTAAAGAGCATATTTTTACAAAATAATCAGTGTGCATATACATGAAATGATGATTTAACAGACTCTAAGCTTTGATGGCTGCTCTACAGAGAGAAACACACACACACTGTTACTCTGTATTCACTGACATCGTCCTCCATCTTTACTCCCGGCAGTGCCCCCACGGCCTGCCCGCTCGACCCGCTGAGAGCCACCATCTCCGGCCAGTCACAGTGCCAGTCCTTTGGGAAGCCCGAGAGGTCAAGCAGCTGGTCACAACCAGATCCCAAAGAAGGCGCCTCGTGCTCTGGAGAGGAATTTCCATACTCAGTCTTAATGGCCAAAGAGGGGGGCGAGGAAGAGAGAGAGAGTTCAGTCTGCAACTGTTTTTTCTTCGTAAGCGCACGCCAGTCGAGGTAACGACGCTTCACCTGCACATCAGAAAGGGAAGGCTGCTTTAAAAATCACAACTGGGTCCACAGAAGCAACGATACGATCTGAATGGAGACAAACACACCTCGGCAGCAGTGCGTAGCTCCCCCTCTCCCAGGGCATTCACACCTTGTGCCACTTCCTCCCATGCTTGCCTCTTCAGCTCATTAATGGCTGTGTTCTATTAAAGAAGAAAGACCAGCAGTTAAACTGTTTCATTCAAAGAGGCAAATAATATGACACTAGTTTACTGAATGGAAAAGAAAGTGACTGCACAAATTAAATTCTCCTGTGCCATTGAAACTAATTACCCTCTCTTCATTGGGAAGAAGAAAGCGAACACTGGGGCAGAGTGTACAGGTGACATAGTCAGCATGAAGTTATTAAAACATTTTTTCAACTCTGCCCTCTTAACCTCTTCTACTGATTTCATTAGGGAGATTAAAATATGACTGTTATGTATAAGCAGAAATGTGTCCAGGGTGCAACACACAGGACATCCTGCAGCTGAAAAACAGACATGTCAGTGCTCTCTAGTGGCAGCAACGGTAATGTAACCAGTTCAAACCTTGGAGTCATCGTTTTGTTCATTATTTACAGCCTCTAGATGTTTTAATTTAGACCAATATAAATTGGAGCTGACTAAACACAGGCGGGCGAGATGGCAGAATTATCTGAATGGTTTGTGCTGCTGTTTTTGTCATTTTCCGCACCTTGGTTCAGACTTCCGAGGAAAGAGAGCTGTGTATGCATTTTTCTGTGGATAAAATCAAGAAGAAAAGAAAAGAAAAGAAAAGAAAAGAAAAGAAAAGAAAAGAAAAGAAAAGAAAAGAAAAGAATCTCCACCTGTTGTCTGGAGAACAATACGTCTCTCCTCTTGTGGATCTCCCTGATGAGAGTTTGTGTTTCCCTCACGCTGTAGTTGCTCTTCCTCTTCCTCTTCAGGTGCTTCATTTGCAAGAAATCCAGTGTGGCAGCAAGGAGTGGGACAGAAGCCCCCAGAAATGTAGAGAGCAAGAAAAACAAGTCAAGAGAGACAACTGGAAAAACAGGAGTGAAGTTATGAGAAAGAGAGGCACAGATATGGAAGAAGGTATCAGAGGGAAAGGACTGAAACAGAGGTGTAAAGAGACAGGTCGCAGTTCAGTGTAAAAGGGAAACTCAGTCCTCAAATAGAGAGAAGTGTGGAAGTTTGCTGTAGCTTAGCTGTCCTTCAGCAGCGCAACAGTTTACACCGGGGAGGAATTCCTCCGTGGCTCCGTTTGTAGCAGCTTCTTTAAAGTTTTCCACCTGGGAGTATCTAAGTAAGGACATTTAAGGCTTGGGGGTTAAAGAAATGCTAGCTGGAAAGAAATGCGTTGATCTGGTAGACTGGAGGTATAAGTCATCAAATCCTTCCCTGCTTTGCTCAAGTTTGACTGGAGGGTTCACTTTTTCTTTTAATAAGACACAAGCTATTATTAATATTATAAGAAGGCTTCAGGTTGCAGTCCAACTTCTCCTGGAATGGGCTGCTGCCAGGTAATCTCACGTGTAGAGAAGCATCACAGGGTGAAAGTGTTCTTTAGCCCTTCTTCTTGTTTAGCCCTGTGTAAAAGACGAAAAAGAAAGCAGATAACACGATTTAGTTTATACAGCCACCTACAGTTGCATTAGTGGAATCTGAGCAGAGAGTACAGCCATGTACACTTCACACACATCATCAGTAAACACTAGTCACCTGGTTGCACTGGCAGCCATACATGCCCATGTACACTTCGGATCTCTACCTTCTATTCGGGTATTTTCAGGTCAAGTCCAATCTGACCTTCCTCTTCTTCGGTGTAACCAGTGGTTTGGACCTTACTGTAGAGACCTCTGTATTTCCATTCATGAAGGTGTCTCTTTATTGTAACTGACAATGATACTTTTGCCTCCTCAGGAATGTTCTTGACTTGTTTGGATTTGTAAAGCAGTTTTTCTTAACTATAAAAGTAATTCTGTCATCATTCACTTCAGTGGTTTTCTATGGTTTTTCAGGCTTTTTGATGTTGCTGGGCTGTTCAGTGTATTTATTCTTTTCTTTTTTTGATGTACCACAGCAGACCCTTAAGTTATGACTCTCTCTCAGCTGGCCATAAAACTTATTGTCAGTCATGTTACAAATTACATTTGAGCCACTAAAATTGAAAGACTGTGTATACCTATAGTTAATGCAGTACTTTTGTTAGATCCCTTGGATTAAGGATGAAAGTCTGTAATTCTATCACATTTTGATTGTTTGATTTAAAATACACCATGATTGCATGGAGAGGCAAAATTACACCGATTGCGTCATCATACAAATACTATGAACTAATCTGTATATTAAGCGGAATGAGTTAGTTTGGGGGGCGTTTTTATAGATAAAAAAACACATGTTGAGTATTTTAATTTACTCTAAGGGTTTTTTTTAATCAGTTGCCCTAATTTTGGATTGGAGCTGGACAATCAGCTACAGGCCACCTTTCAATCTAAAGACAGGCAAATACTGAGATCGCTCGTAACTATGATGAATACTGATGGGTAGGAACACTGCTCATGCCTCACGTGTCTCTGAAGCACATCAAACATCTCTATACTCTGCGAGTCGTCACTATCTGTCTATAATTAGCAGACAATACTGTGTTGTAACAAGAATTTTACTATGATAATGCGTTACCTTATCGCACAAGAACACAAGAAAGACCTAGTTGTATGTAAATAAATAAATAAATATATAAATGGATAAACCTCGAAGGTTAAACATTTTTCCCTCTTTAACCTTCCAAATCGTTGAAATTACGATTTTTTTTTTTGGATGACTACAAGGCATCAGTAACCAGAGAGGCTCAGCACATTTTTGTCAGAACAGTCATAAATTTCATGTTTTTTCTGCATCTCGTCAGCTCCTCCAATAAAACACCACTGGTAATAATAGTAAAAACAACTCACCTTAATCACACAGAAAAACCGCAATCCAAACAGCACCGTTTAAAATGCAATTTTAATGCTGCGTTCATCGCCCCGTCTGAAACGGGAGAGACTAAGGTTTCAAAGCTGTAAAGACGATTAAGGTTCGAGAGATTTAGACTTGACATTTAGACCTAAATAAAACAAAAGCACTTGGTGTTATCTCATTCGGACATCGTCTCTACTTTTGTCATTGTATTGCACGGGGATGGGGGTAATTTATTGAAACTGAATCGTAGTGTTGTCGTATTTCCAATGTTATTGAAACATTTGAAGTTACCGCCAGTGACGCGCCATTTTAATTGCTCCTATTGGTTAATCCTCCACCGCGCCCACTTATGACGACATTGAATCAGGCCGGGCTCTTCCGGGCATGTGCACCGCTGTCAACTCCGAAATGTAAACAGGAAAATCTGTTGGGCGAAAATCCGCACGTCTCTGAACATTACATTCGAAGACGCCGCGCTGACTTTAGCTCATTAGCAGCTCGTAAGCAGCCCGAAGTTGCGGTGGAGGAGCCCGGATGTCAGAGGTGGAGCAGGGGGCGAGGAGATGGGTTCCGTCCGGTGGGCTTTCCGCTGCGGATCGTGGACGCCGGGCAGGTCAGACTGGCTGTTCGCTGCTCGCTGCATCCAGCGGGAGGAGAAAGATCGGATCGGGCAGTTTGTGTTCGCCAAGGATGCAAAGTCAGCTATGGTGAGTCCAAAACTAAACTTTACCGATTCTTGGTATCGGCCAAGAGCCAAGTAAACAAAGAGCCAGTGTTGCCGATACCTGTAGCGATACTTTAAATCTGTAAAGTTAACTTCTGTTGGGAAGACCAGTGTGTCTTGATTATGACCACAAGATGGCTGTGATTTTTCTTTTTTCCGCATTACCTACTTAACACAATAAAACACATCTCACAGCTTTTCGTGTATTTTGAATAGACCTGGAATGCGCCTTGGGGCAACTGTTGGTGTGATTTGGCACTATTTAAATAAAATTAAATTGAATTGAACTTAGTGCAAAGCAGAGACTTACAGAATGACGCCCAGCAGGTTTACTCCTACAGGTTTCCGGTGGCATGAGGGCCTAACGGTCTTTAGCGGGACCTTCCTCACAGGTTCTTGCCAGAGAACACCAGAACTGGCAGGGCGCCCTGTTCTCTTCACAGATGGTGTTTCAGGCAGCGTATCGCTTGCCATGGCATCTCCAGATATTTTCACATCTTGTCACATGTGCTTAGTGCAAATCTGCTCTCATCTGTGAAGAGAGACAGTGTCATGAGAGCCTGTCTCAAGCTACCAGCAGTGATAAGGACACTGGTAAAAAACAAAAAAAGCTAAACTGAAGTAAAAGTAGAGAGCAGCAGTCTGTGGCCCCAACCTGAAATGCCATTAATATGTTGCATATTGTATCTCCAGTACACCTGTTGTCACTTTAATTTGCACCAAAGCAATCAAAAGTAGTTTATGTTTATTACCTGGACAGAGTGATGTCCCCAAAGTTTATAAAACTTTGTATTCTGCTGTTATCATCAAGTGCTCCCTTAATTATTCTGAAAAGTTTATACAGCTGTCTTTGCGTCTCTGTTGCCTCAACAGGCTGGACGGTTGTTGCTAAGGAGGCTTGTGTGTGAGAAGATGGGGATCCCATGGTCAGAGATCAGACTGGAGCGATCTCCCAGAGGCAAACCTTACCTGGCAACACCTGGCAAGGTTCACTCCTTTTTTCCATAAAGTTCAAAGTCTGCATATACTGCAGCATTTTACTTCACTGCATTGTCATTTCACTAAACTACAAGTGTTCCAGCACAAGTAACTAAAAATCAGATATAAATCTGATATATCAGAAATATATCAGAAATAGATCTATAATACAGTGCAGGGAGGGTCAGCGTGGCCCAAATACTGGATTTTTGTCAAGCTCAGTATAGACTTCATTTATTTTGATACATTCAAACATATAATCCTTCTCCTTACAGGTCAGTTCAGAGTCAGATCTGGCCTGGAGTTTCAATCTCTCCCACCAAGGGGACTACGCAGTGCTTGCTGCAGAGCAGGGGAGGCAGGTCGGGGTGGATATCATGAAGACCGCCATGCCAGGTAAACACTGTGGTTCCCTGGTTAGGATAAACCTGTGCCAATATATGAAATGACTACATTTTTGGACTCGTTTAGCTATGAAATTCCACCACAAGGGGTCGCTGCTGCACCATATATATACAGTATTGACTAGGCCAAGGCTGTTTGTGTGTGTAAATTTGGATTTCTGTGTGACCACAGAATTCAAATGTGCGAAACACTTCCATCAAACACAGGCTGTGTTTGAATATTACTGTTTTTCTTTTCCATCACCTCCCTCATTCTCCTCCCCTCATTTATAATTTTTCATCCATTCTCTCTTCCCCTCCTGTTTTGGTTTTGTATTTTTTTTGTCCCCGCACCTCTTTCATTCGCTCCAGGTTGCAGCTCTGTGCTGGAGTTTTTCCGCATTATGACTCGTCAGTTTACAGCGCACGAGTGGAGCGCCATCCAATCAGCCGGCTCGGAGCACCAGCAACTCGCCGCGTTCTACCGCCACTGGGTAACCATGGCAACCATACTACCTTGTGCCCTGTGTGTGTAACAGAAGAAAGCACAGGGAGAACGTAACATTGCCGCTGTCCTCTGAGGCGACACACACTTGTATTTTTTTACATACATGTGCAAATTTGTTTCTCAAACGCTGCCCCGCTGCATCGCTGCATGCTGTCATCGGAGACGTGCGCTTTCATTTCATTTTCTTTGGTTTTTGCCTCCTTTCGCTCTCATTTTCTTGCATGCACTCACACTCTCTCGCTCCCTCTCTCTCTAATACACACACACACACACAGATGGTCAGCAAAAGCAACAGTGGAGCTAAGTAAAGATTTTGTGCGATTGAGAGGGTGGCACAGAGACGTCAAGCACTGATATCACCACCACACTGTTGACTAATGGCAGAGCTCAACGGTTGCCATAGCGATTAGCCTTGTAATAGTGTTATTGTGGCTTATTGGTTGTCGTGCATGGTCGGTTTTGGCTGGATACACACACACACTGACACACAATGTCCTTCTTTGGTGTGCACTCTGATAAACATGTGTGCACAAACTCCCATCTGTTGCGGTTTTAAGTGGTGTTTCTTCTTAGCCAAAACACCCTCCACCACATACACACACACCATCCCACACATGAAGACACACGCATACACACAGATCATCATTTTCTGCATGCAGCTGATCGGGTTTCTTCCCTTTCCATCAAGGCCCTGAAGGAGAGCTTCATCAAAGCCATCGGCACCGGTCTGGGCTTCAACCTGCAGAGGGTGGAGTTTCACCTGCCGTCTGAGCCGCTCACACAGGACCGGGTACTGCACCAGACCAAGATGCATCTAGATGAGGAAGAAGAAGAGGACTGGGTGTTCGAAGTGAGTCTGGTGTTGTGAAGAAAAAGAAAAGTCCAGAGATGTTGTTAAAATCTAGAGGTTTGTGTATTAGAGGTCACAGCTCAACAATTCAGTCTATTTTTGTCTCTCATCAGCTTCCAAGTAGTCTGTGTTTTTATTCTCAGGTTTAAAATGTTGCTATGCCATTTGATAATTGCTCCATTTTTCCAGATTTTCCACTTGTGTCACGAATGCATCAGTGCTGTGCTAGTTCACACTTCACAAATGTTTGCTCAGTTCACACACACACAGATAAAAATAAGCTATTCTGTGTTTGTTTCTTACATTTTTTGGAAATGAGCTGCTCTGAGCTATTCTTTATCAGTAGACTCTCCTCCTCTCAGCCACGCAGCCCTCAGCAATCGCTGCTTCCCACACAGAGTGAAATACTGTATGCAGCTATAGAACTGATGACCGATTAGTTTCAAGTGCAAAGATGATAACATGAGTGTGTGTGTGTGTATTTTTTGTTTTTTTATATTAAGTAATGTGTCACAAATCAGGTCAGCTCAAAACAAGACGAGCTCCACGCGAGCTTCCATGCATTGCATATAATTTGGGATCGCATTAAACAAGCTGGAAGCAGCTTTTAGGAAAGTTTAACACATTGGTTCAAAGGACTTGGGTGCTATGCAGAGGGGACCTTGATGCACATTTCCACAGTGAATATGCCCTTGAGAGCATCTTCAGAGAGAATCATAGGTGGCCTCGTACAGAAATACAAGTGGTTGTGATTGGGGGGGGGGGCTCTCGAGTGTTTCTTCATCCTGCCTAACATGATAACTGAAGATTAGAGGAGTGCACCTCACAGAGCAAAGAACTCCTCTTTCTGCCATTGCTCTGCTCCCCCTATTAACCTGTACATTTCTTTGCCGTAGAGCAGACACTAAGTTACAAATATTTAAAGCAAGAACATATTGGTACACAACACACCACAATGATCTAGGTCATCTCTTTCAAGCCCTTAAAAAACATGACATCTTTTAAAATTAGGAACATCCTGTCACAGAGCATAGCTGATGACCTGGTGCATGGGTTTTTACCAGGCTCACTCAAAACGTCTCTGATCCAGCATGTTCCATTAAAAGCACTAAGAGAAACTATAAAGAGATCATATTTTCCAGATTTAAGGAATTTAAAATCCTGCTCGCATACAAAACCCTTAACGACCAAACTCCGTCATATCTTAAAGATCTAATAGTACCCAGTAGAGCACTTTGCTCTCTACTTCTGGCTTTTCCAAAAATACCACGGGAGGCCTTTAGCTGTCAGGCTCCATTCCTACACAACCAGGTCGTGATGCAGACTCTCTTCTTTAATGTTAACCTTAAATACTTTATTCTTTGATAAGCTTATCATTAGGCCTGGATCAGGTGACCCTATATCATCTGTAAACCAGCTACGCTGTGACGTAATGGTCACTTCACATCTTCCTTTCTCTCTCAGTGCATTTACAGTTTGTGTCGTCTCCCCTGCAGTTTGTGCACACACATACTTTTCTTCTGTGTCTCCTTTCCTCTCTGACTTTTCAGAAACTCTTTGAAACTGCAGCGATGAGCTATCACTGGCCACATCGCCAACCTGCTGAGTGTTTACTGCTGCATTTTGTTTTTTGTTGGTTCTCCATCCTCTTCTTTGCACTTACCCCAAGCATCGATGCCGATGGCCTGTTGGAGGTTTCTGCCTGTTAAAATTTAGTTTTCCTCACCACTCAAATAAATTATTGATTTTCTCTCTATTGGCATTACTGTGTGCCCTTTTTTGTGCCAAACACCCTAAAATGATTGGTTCCAAAGTCTATCCAGACTGCATATTTTTGGATTTGTGTGTCATTCTGCAGGAGAGTTTACTGGATGCTGATCATCATGTTGCTGTAGCACTCGGACCAGCAGACAACACATGCCCTGCAGTAAGGAGGCATAACTTTTCCATTAAAAAAATGTGAACTTGGAATGAATAGATTAAAAAAAGAAAGAAAACTTAGCTACAATAGTAAGAGTAGCTATCATACTGTAGGATAAACAATATTAACTTTCTTCCTGGTTACTCACAGCCTCGTCCGCCTTCTCTTCTTCCGCCCACCACATTTACCGTGCTGTCGTTCAGAGAGCTCATCGACTCAGCCTCACCTCTAACAGACGAAGACCCCACCTACTGGGATAGCTTCAAGATGAAGGCTGAAGCTCCGCAGAGACAGAAGGATACACACACGTCCACATAGCCGCCCGTCTGAAGCCGACACTCAGCTGCCATACAAACGCACACCTTTCAGAAGTGCCAAAGAAGAAAAACACTGACACTGAAGTTGCTTTGGTATTCAACCCGAATCCAGTCACGTCCTGTCAAGTTTATTTGCCAAGCCAGAATTTACAGGCTTGTCTCAAAGGACCTAAGAACTTAGACAGTATCTGACACCATCTATCTTTAGATTCTCAGTTCTGATAAGTATAAAAAAAGACAGGGGATTCAACAAAAATCACCAAACCAATACACAGACACACAATATATCCAACATGTCATTTTGTTTTCTTTCTACGCACTGAATCAGATTTAAGTCTCATGAAACTAGAAACTGATTGGCAACCACCAGGCAACATCTGGTCACATGACTGGTTGGTGAGAGGTTTCTGTCAGTTGTTGTGAAATTGTGAATAAATCCTAATTCTTACCTCAGCCTCCAGAAACACGCTGAGGAGGTTTGGAGTGGTTTTTAGCTTGGATATATTTTTCCATGTAATATCAAACATATGTAGGACTGCTTTAATATGTTTGCACGATATCTCTAGAATTAGAAACATCCTGTCTCAGAGTGATGCTGAAAAACTACTTCCTGCCTTTTTACTTCTAGGCTAGATTGTTGCCATTCATAATCCCTGAAAAGCCTTGAGTTGATCTAAAATGTTGCAGCGCGAGTACTGACAGGGAACCAGAAAGAGAGCATATTTCTCCCATTTTAGCGTCACTTCACTGGCTCCCTGTTAAATCCAGAAGCAAAATGTTTCCATCCAACTGTTGGCTAAAAAATAAGAATAGATATGTTTAACAAGGGAATTGGTGATGATCAAAATAAAAAAACAACTTTTTTTTGTCATTTTCAAACGTTTAAAATGTGTAAAATGCAAATAAAATAAACTTTAATAATTTTGCAGATCAGCTGCTTTTCTTAATCTCTATTTTTTGCCATATTCTCTGGTGTTAAGAGGAGAAAGCCAGCATCCAAGGTCATATGGAGGTGTATTTGTGCACATGACATGCTCTTGCACATTTGTGAGGGCACCAGTAATGCTTTACAATATATAAAGTTGTTTTTAATAACATATCCACCACCCACCAATGTTCTTTGGACAAACTAGGTTTTCTTTCCTATTTCAGTAAGAAAACCTAAACCTCAGTATGCATGCTAAGCATTACTTATGACATACACTGACAGCTATAGTCCTCCTGCAGGGGTCTGGGTTCAGTTCTCTCCCAGATCATTTCCTGTCATTCACCCTCACTCTTTCTACACTTTGTTGTTATTCTCTACACATCAGAATAATAATTATAATAAAAAAAATGTCCATCCCAATTGTTCTGAAAAATAACTTTTCTCAATGTCAACAATTAAAACTTTGCATATTAACGAGTTTCAGCATTGCTACCCAATGCTACAAGTACAATTTTATGTATGTGAGTATCACAGTTGAGCACGCTCAAGCCTCATTTTGTTTACTGCTGTCTTTCTTTCCTCCCTTGTGTATCTAAATGTAAATGTCTCTCAACCTTGCTTCTCTTTCTTAACTTCACTCTTATCTTGCATGAATGTTTTCCTCCTTTCTTCCTCCACATTGTCACTGCCATCATATCTCATCTTTCTCTTTTTCCCTCTCTTCTCAACTCTGCCTGGCAGCATCTGTTTTTGTTGAACATATTCAGCTGACCGTCTCCTTCCTTCAATCTTATTCTCCTGCTCTCGAGGCTAACTCATAGATTGCTCGTGTCAGTCTGCCGCATTAAGCTTTTCTTTTCCTGCATCGCATATTATTTCTTACCTGTGATCGTAAGTCTTTTCGCCTGCACACGTTGGCTATCATCAGTGCCAAGAGGTCTGTTAGCAATCTCAATGAACGTCCTACACTTAGCTTTTGCTTTAACCTTTGAATTGAACAGATACACAAACACATCAAGCAAACCAGCCACAAAGAGTTCTTTCAGTGTCACATCTGCCTTCAAATTGTAATCAAAGGCAAACATTGGTTGTCTGAGACCCACACAATGGCACGGACTGGTTGTTTAACCCAACCTGCAGAATCTGCTGCTCATCTTCATCGCTCTCTTTTTTCTAGCTATCCTTAGCCTTCCGAGAGAACAGACAGGACTTGTGGGTATTGATCTAATGGCAACCTACTCTCCAGGTGGCTTTATGGAGTCCTTTTGTTTACACTTGTATATGTGACAGATAACATAGTGTTGAAATGTCAGAGAAAAAGTGCACTGATTCAAGTGTATGTTGCTGAGCCTGTACAGAGTTGTATCTGTATACAACTTGAAATGACATATGCGTGCCGTCGTTGTCTGCAGCTGGAGTGAATTCATTTGCCTCCTCATCGTCTTAAATCTTACGTTAGCTGCAGCGGTGAAGAGGAGAGAGGAGGCAGCGGGGTCAGACTGGAGGCCCACAGGCTTTCCTCAGAGAGAGACCATTTTTAGTTGCTTCAGGTTTATTGATGTGTCAGAGACAAGACCACGGGAATAGATTTTCTCTCTTTTTTTTGTCTTATATGTGGGCTGGAGACAAGACTGCTTTGGGCATGAGACTGAGTTTAGCTTGAAGTGAGAGATGAAATCCACCTGCCTGCTGTTGAGGATAAGAGTCATGTTTCTTCTGATGGAGGAAGAGCAGGAGAACAGTTTCTGCTGCATTTAAACTTTCACTGGTATGTTTTTAAAATTAGACTTGATTTCAAAATAACATTTTTAACCATTGCCTTGCAAACAACGTGTAAAACAAAACATAAAACCCTGTTGTAACTTATGAACCTAACAAGTCCACTGAAGACTTTGCGCTTGAGTGATTAGGAAGCCAATCCCACATAGGAAGGAAAGCTCACGTAATGGGTGCACTTGTTTGCTGAGCTGGTAAGTAATACGTTTTCAGCTGCGCCTGACATTTCATTAATTTTATTTCATCCTTTAATGTGTCCATTACTTTGTTTAATGATTCAATATGATGACATTCTCATCTACTCGAGGTGATTTATGCCAGCTGCCGATGTGACATATGCTTTGCTTTGCATTTACTTCAAAAATGCATCAAGAATTCTGGAAACTACACTTATTTATTTCCCAGCAGAGTGTAGTTGGAAGCATATTAGCTTAGCTTAAACAGAGGCGAGCAGCTAGCCTTTCTCTGTCCAACGTTTTTATAAGTTTATAAAATCTCTGCATCAGCACTTCTGTGTTTTTATGCACAGAAGCTTTTTAGGCACACCTGTTCAACTACTTGTTAAAGCAAATATCTAATCAGCCAATCACAAAGCAGCAACTCAGTGCATCTGGGCACATAGACATAACCAAGGCAACGTGCTGAAGTTCAATCGCAGCATCAGAATAAGGAAGAAAGTTGGTTTAATGGACTCTGAATGTTGTTGGTGCCAGGCGGGCTGCTCAGAGTGTTTCAGAAACTGGTGATCTTCTGGGATTTTCCAGCACAACCATCTCTGGGGTTTACACAGAATGGTCTGAAAAAGAGAGAAATATCCAGTGAGCAGCAGTTCTTCTGATGGAAATGCCTTATTGATACCAGAAGGAGAATGGCCAGACTGCTTCGAGCTGGTAAAAGGCGACAGTAATTCAAATACAACCAAATTCTGCTGTGACATACAGATATCAGGGTCAAATTTTGACATAAACAGCATGAAAGCATGGAGTTTTGCCATTCTGCCTCGTATTAATGGTCAGGCTGGTGCTGGTGGTGTAATTATGCAGGCGATATTTTCTAGGCACACTTTGGGCCTCTTAGATTTAACCATGCCTTTATTATAATGACTTTCACGTGCAGATGATACATTACAGGGGTGAACAAACTAGAAAATGGTATAAAGATCTTTTCAAAAGATCATCTGGATGATCCACCAACCTGTGAAATAAAACTTGACTTTTTTTGACTGCAAACCAGTTTGTTTGGAAGGGGGGAAAAGGCATTGCACAACAACACAAAAACCTTCAGCCTGACTGTGAACGATGGTGGAGTGCATCATTCTGGAGCTGCTTTGGTACCTCGGGGTTTGGACTTGCAATCATCATCAGGGAACAATGAACTGAAAATTGCATGAAGAAATTTTACAGGGGAATTTCAGGGCAGCAGTCCATGGCTTGAAGTTTAGAAGGGGTGGACTCATGAGCCAAGACAATAAGCCTAAGGATACATGTGTATCCACAACAGAATGACTGAAAGCAAAGAATTTGATATTTTCATATTCATGCTTTTTTGACTTGCCAAGCCACTACTTCAGTGAGAACAGATTGTGAGCTGAAGCCTAAAGTGATTTACTGTAGTGTCATAGACTGACTTTGTTATGTCTGTCTGGTCGGCTGGAAAATATATTCAGAGTGGATTTTTTCTTCTCTTCTCCTGCATTTTCTTTCTTGTGGATACTTAAAACTTTGCTACTTCTGAGGGAGCGTGGTGGTACTTTGATGTAGGAGCTTGGAGTCGGCGAAGATATGGCGTACGCGGCCCCGAGTCTTTTTTTTTCTCAATCCAAGCTTTGAGCTTCATGTTTGCTCAGATATGAAGCAGTGTTTCAGCAACGGATAAGAGGACTGACTTCTATGTGCCACTGGAATTCGTTATAATCCTCTATCGCTCAGGCTGGTTCCACTTCAGAGTCATACATTATTCAGTGGCAATGTTTCATTCTGAGTCCACAATCAACCAAAGTTTGGTTTGCAGGAGAAATCATAAACAGTGCAAAAAAAAAGGCCAGTGCATGCCTTTATTTTCTTTTTGTTTGTTTTTTGCTAGATTTGAAACAGTACTGCATTAATATCGCCTAAGATGCATGTATACTGTATGTACAATATGACATTAGAGGCATTGGTGTGTGTTTTCCATTTTCTATCTAATCCTCCTGATGCACCTGACTGAGATTAGTCAGTGAGTTAATGTGATAGCTTTTGTACAGCATGGAATTACACTGACACTCAGTAACCCTCAGTATTAGTGCAAATGCCATGTAATTAGTGCACGTGCTCTTAAATGGGATGACTACAAACCTAAATCCACACTGTTGCCTATTGTGTCACGGACCCAGTTCCAGGGATTCGGGGTCCGTGAGCAGTCTGGACTACTATTGTAGTTATTATCATTATTATTGTGGTTATTGTTATTATGGTTGTGTCTGCTGTCCTGTTTTCCGTGTTGGTGTACTGTCAGGTGTTTATGGGTGTGCGCATGTGTGTGAGGGTGCGGTCGTGGCAGGCACTTCTAGGCCTGGTGGGTGTGGCCCTGCCAGCTGACCGGTCCCACCCAGGAATCCACACACACCTGGCGCCGATCAAGCCTCGTCAGAGGAGCTTCAAAACAGCGTGGCTGAGAGCTCCTCGACGCTGGATCGTTGAGTGACTTCCCGTCAGTCTTAGTTTATCGTGCAAGGTTAGTGCAAGTCTGCCGTTAGGTTTTGTACTCACGACTGCCTTTTGTATGCGTGTTTCTCAGGAGGAATTGTGGCGACCAGGAGGCAGCACACGGACAGT